CTCTTGTTGGGTGACTCTTACCGCTGTTTGATTTGACCGAGAAAAAAAAAGTTTCCTGCTTTACATCCTATTTACATAACACCCCCATTATTTAAAGTATTTATTCCATCCTCTGCGGCATTTGGTGGAAGTAGCTTTTAGTGTTTTTTTATGTCTTAATGCAGCCGCCAGAGATCACAGAAAAAAGCTACTATCCCGCATATCAAATCAACTCAAACTAAGATAACTTTTACCCCCCCAAAAAACAACAACTAACATCTCATCACTTTTGTTGTTTGCTAAGGTAAAAGTCTTTTGTGATTTCCGGTAAAACTTCTATCAAGTTGCAGCGTTTGAGGAGATTCTGGTTCAGGAAGTTAAGTCTTGGTCACAGCTACCTGACTGACGGTTTGGGCATGAGACTCGCCTAGTTTAATTATCAGAAGAGACGATTTGACCGGTGCTAACTCTTAATGGTGCTAATATGTAACTAATCAAGCTTTTCTTGTTTTTGGACCTCAGAAGGTTTTGGGTTCCATGTTTTCTGAATGCAGGATGAGTCACTCTTTGGTTTCTAAGGCCAAACGATGGCCATCCTGGATATGTCCTAAACTACCTTTCAGTCCATCTAGACGTAAAGAAGTGGAGCTCAGGCGGGCGTTTACCTTCCTGGCAAATTGCTACAACATTCCCGCCTGTCAGTCAGATTTTCCAAGCCCCCGATCATGCAAAACTCTTAGCCTTACAAGAAAAATCCTCCTCTGTACAGTTAGTGCCAAAAGAACATGAGCTAACTCAGGCCCAAATCTTATTTTGTACCAGGTTGTGAACATGTTTAATGCTGCTGTAAAAATGGACATTTTAAAAAGGGACCTAAAGGGAATGCTTCGACTTCTCAGAAATGATATTAAAACGAGGGATAAACCCTATGTGATCCTTTTTATGCTCTTGTTTTAATATTTATTAATATATAATATATTTAATATAAATCTTGCATTTAGTGTATAGTTTGAAAAAAACACTTCCTGAACCAGCAGCCTCTCCCACTCTGCGACTTGGAGTTGTTGTTTATTTTTCTTTTGTTTACTTTTCGTGCAATGACTCAAAGCTTCCCAAAGAACAGTTAAAGATGGTTCTCATTAGCCGTCATATTTGGATCCCTTGTTTAGAGCATTAAAGGGACGAAGGGAAACGAGAACAAGATGGTATTAATAGTAACATAGGAGATTAGGTAGCTGTAGGAACAATCAGGGACAAAAAGGGTTGAGATGCAACTGACAGACGTGCACAAATCAAAATCTGTCTTGTGTTATTAATAGATTTTTTAATCACTTTGTCGTGTGATTAGATTACTAATTGGATGTTTAGGAAACAGTGATGTAGGCTACATAGGAATGATCGATTGCCAGAAAACAAATAAATCCACATATCACTGTGTTTACATTCTAACATGGCTGCCTTACGAGAACATTGATTGTGATGTTTCCGTTTTGTGTTTTTGGAAATGAATGGTTTAAAAGGTGACTTTATATTTGCACTGAAAAATATCTGTCTTTCCTTTTCAAAGCACTTTTTAATGGGAATGTTGTTAGAAAGAATAACCAGCAAGGAAGGTGAAAGAGAGACGAAGCAGGAAAGAGCAGAAAGCACCTGATTGGTCCACCTGTACACCAGTCGAATTAAACAAAGCACACATTTATATATTTTTTTTTAAGGGGAAAAAAACCACTATGATGACTTTCATAAAGTCACAAAACATATCGCCCAAATGCCAGATGAGCAAATAGCACAAAGACCGACTATTAATTTATGATAATAAAAAAATCATGTTATAAAAACCAGCAGAATCCGTTACGATTCCATTTAAATCTGAAAGCAGAAGTCGACATTTTAAATATTTAAATCATTTCATATCGATCTGATTTTACCCGAGCTGCTTGGAAATGTTACATTATCCATCTTTAGAGTTTTAGGCTGCAACAACGAATAGCTAAAATTTAAATTATAACATTTTTTGGCAATGAATTAGATTTTTTAATCACTTTGTCGTGTGATTAAAACGTAATTCACCGCTGCACAGAGCTGTGTATGTCACATGCACACTGTTGAGCGGAGCGTTGTGTGATTCTTGTAAAGCAGTTTTAACGATAAAAGTTAATTGGCGACCTTCTTTCCATGATGTAGACGAGATGTTGGCATCATGGAAAAAAATTGATATTTGGTAATAAAAACTCGAGATGAGACACGACTGAATTGTTAGGGGGGGAATGAGGGCTTTCAAACATGCACAAAACTCTTGAAAAAGTCACTGCCAAGATGCCCTATGAGTCCTAATTTGGTGTGGACAGTTTCAGGTAAAGCATCATATCATCTGCATATCACATCAGCGAAGAGAGTTGAAACTTTTTATGCACTTTTATAGATCTATCATTCTACTTTGTGCTTATTGAGATACCATTACAGTAGAATTTTAGTCTTTTTACGCACTTTTTCTAACCACCCTTTGGTTTTCCAGAGGGGTTAAACTGAGTTCTCTTTGGTGACTTAGAAGTCCAAACTTAATTTCTTTACACAAAGACGGGGAGCTAGACAACATGCCAGGTAAATATGCTAATAATAACAGAATCATGAAAAACTTTATGATTGAAACGTAATGTAATCCTAAAGCTGGCCACACACTAGATGATTTTCAAAGCTGAACAGATTTTAAAAAACGTGGGAGACCACAGATATGAGGACAATTTCAGATTTTTACTATCATAATCTGAACGCACACACTAGACACCGCAACCCAGATGGGAGACCCACACACCTGCCGTTTGTAGTAACCATTTCAGACAGACACTCTGTGAGATCAAACGTGACTTCAGAAGAAAAACAAATATGGAGGACGATCGACATCGTCAGCTGGCTGTCCTGCTGCGGGTTTTCTGTTTTGCAGCGAAAAACACAAAAAATAATTAGCTTGAAATCCTGCCTGAGAAGACGGTTTATGTGCGGCTTTAAACAATTTGAAGTGTGAGCAGAGTCTTCCAATTGTGCTCGCTCTCATTGGCTGCATTCTGTTGGTGACCTGTAATCGTAGATGTCAACAACGGGAGCAGTAAAATAATCGTAGTGACATCACACACTTGAGGATTCTTTGGACAAAAAAATCAGATATAAAATCTTATAACTTACTCCAGCCGTGATAATCACTGATATTGTTTCAGTTCTAACAAGTTTAATTTTCATTCAGTCTTAATGTTTGTCTTAAATCTGAGAATCAGTTTGGATCATATTTCAAAACATTGAAGAACTCTGAAGATGCTCTTTCCTGCTTCCCAATCCTCTTTCACTTTTTTAAATCATTTAGCCTCCGACGGAGGTGCAGTGTTAGCAGGAACTGGTCACAATAACACTTGATAATGTACATTTTGTTATAGGCCAAGTAAGAGCGACGATCCCCACTGCCTCGCTATGCAAAAGTAAAACAAAAGTGCTCTTGTGTGTTACCACTTCCAGTGTTTGCTGGAATGAATGTCTCTTTTCTTATTATCTGAATGTAAGTGTTATTTGTTTGAAACTGGAACTCCTCCCCAGGTATAGTTTGTTGTTGTGTTTGTTTTTTTACAGTTTTTTACACTGTTTCATAAATCTGTTTTTTCTTTATATTGTCTCATTCATGAATTTGTTTGCAAAAACCACCAAGCCATAGTGAATCATGGGATTGTGCTGTGTACCAAAGTACTGTAACGTGCCATCAAACAAACAAGAGCCAAACGTTTGTGAAGTCCATCCAGTTTCTTCTCTCTAGACTAGAGCAATAAACGCTTTCCCTGCACTCTGTGTCATGATTTATTTATTTAGTGTTGAGATCCTGTTGTGTTGTTAGTTGACTCTTTTAAAAGCAAGAATTTGAACTTTGTATAAAGAGGCTGAATGACGCCAGAAGAAGACTAGATACCTTTTTTTTTTTACAAATTATAACCTTGTAACGTGAAACTTTATTACAACTGCATGTTTCTTGAGTTGTAACAATTACATTTTTAAAAAAATATGTCTTTAAATGTTTTTAAACATAACATAAGTTACGAAAACTTGGCAAGACCTGATCAGGTCATGCTGACCAAATAGACCAAAGCATGGAGCAAAAAGTTGAAGGACACACCCACCCTGACAGCTCTTTCAAAGACACTCAACTCTCCCTGCGAGATTGAGCGAGCCACCTGTCAATCATGTCCGCTACGTGCCTAACTATGGATAACATTCATGAAATCAAAACGGAGCTGTTCAGTGTGTGCCCATGAGGACAATAACTAATCGGACCAATATGTTTTTTTTGTACTAGGCTGTAAACGTGTTAATTTCTGCTTTGAAAACAGGCTTTTTTTGAATGGGTGTGTATGTGACTTCCTGTGCTTCTGCAGACAGCTTCAGGTGGACACTTCAGCATTGGCTTAATTTTTCAAGACCAGAGGTTGCCTATTGGGACCAGCCCACCCAGATGTTCATTCAAACTTCCCTGCCTCTGCAAACAGAGGTGGCCAATCAGATGGCACAAGGGGAAGGGGGCGGGCCTTAAAGAGACAGCAGCTGAAATGAAGTTTCAGGCAGAGGCTGAAATGATGGACTTTACTGACGCCAGGATCAGATAAATTACTATGTTTTTGAGCTACACCTCTCAACGCTGCTCAACGGGCGTCCCAGACTGACATCATTAATGGTGAATTTTCAACTGCATCAGGTAGTGATGGCTGCTCCAATTGCGTTCATGAGGGTGCATGTCCCAGTATTTACAGTACCGATCAGTCTGCAGGATAAAATAACCAGATAACTACAGAGACATGATCATACATATCATTACTTCAATTCTTTTCTAGTTTTTTAAGTTTCAATGGACAATCTGAGGTGTTGGCACAGATTTAGATTTTTGTGTGTGTTATTGAAAATTTTCTAATTTTAAAGCGAAACACCTTTCGAACAATAAAGCATGAAGTGATCGACAAACTGAAGACTCAGATTAAAAAACGTCAGTTTATCTGAAACATATTTCAGAGCACAGTACATGTGTTTGACTTACTTTACAAAATATTTACAGATAATTTTTTTATGTGACTTAGCCAGAAAAAAAGAATGAAAAACCAACATGGAGGAAAGTTTCAGGGGAATTTTCAGCGTTTTTACCAAATATTACTTTAGACACATTTATTCATAGTCAACTCTGAAAGTACTTTAATCCTTTCTGAAGAATGAAAGTTTGTCTGGCATGATTAAAAAAGTATTTTCTGGTTTATTCCTGAACATTTATCCATTTCTTACCAAACTTTGCACCCAGCGGAGTTCCCCACGGTACAATACTGGAGCCACTGACATTCTCAACATCAGTCATTAAAGGGTCGAAACGATCCAGATGTCAAACAAATTAACCCCACAAATTTAGCAATTTTCTCAGTTACGCATGGAACCAGCTTTTATGTGAGCTCGAATGTATTTGGAGGAAGTTGCCACATGGAGAATCTCGGACCCTCTAGAATCCCACAGAAGTCCTTTTTGTTCATGTTCAGGTTCAGAACTTTAAACTGACCGGTCCTTTCACCAGACCCTGCTCTTTACGCATCACCGGTGCGTGAATGCTGCAGTCACGGGCCTCACAAAATCCCGGCACACCTGCGATCCCGAGCATGCCGGTCTGACCGACTGGACCGGGGAAACCACGGGGACCTAGGGGACCCTCCATGCCGTTTTTGGGTTCTGCTGGGTGTCCCGGCAAACCTGAAGAGTGATATGAAAGAGACATTTAAGACCAGTCGCTTATTAACAAGGAGGTAAAACAGGCACATGAAAACCTCAATAGTTCTTCTGTTAAAATGGCATATTTATTTATACTCGAGTTGTCTCTGTACCAGAATCTTGAGCTTCGATATGATACCAGTTATAATCAAAAACCTGTTTCGATACCACGGCAACTAAAAATCACGTCTTGGTCACCAAAAACAGAACTTTGTGAATTTTGATTTCCAGCTTGTATATAAACAGAAATGGTCCCCGAACACTGATCAAAATTAGACATGTTGTTAAAAGCAATGAAAGGAGAAATGAGTAATGTGTACCCAAAATAAAACATTTCCTCTGAGTTATTAAAAATCCAGAAAACGTTGATGCAGTGATTCTGCTCTCTGTACTTCCTGATGATCTTATTTGGGACCTTTCAGTGTTTGAGCAGTGATTGATATTCTCATAAATCCTTCCCACTTGTTAGAGAAGACGTGTTGTATCATTTAAGCTTCTCTCTGTTAAAAACCTGAACGATTGTGTATAAATCAACGGTTACAAACCTCTGAGGCCTTGAGGTCCATCAGGTCCTGGCAGACCTTTACCTGGAGCACCTGCGAGGCCTTTGGCTCCTTTTTGACCTGTGAAGAAAAACACAAAATCTTTGAGAAAAAAAACAAAAAAACAATCACAGTCAGTTTAAATCTGTATGACATGAGCCTTGTCCTTAGTTGTCCCATTCTCAGTTTAGTTCTTAATGCCGTTCTCTTGAGCCCCCTTAAAAGCAAACGTACTAATTACTCTTATGACTTTGAGGACCAGGTGTGATTTTAGTCATGGACTGCACACAGCGAGAAGGTGTCCTGGTTTGAATCCCCGTCTGACAGGAGTACTCTCAGGGTGCTCTGGCCTCCTCCCACAGTCCAAAGACATCATCTAATCTACATTCTACAATTCTACAATTTCTACAATTCACTTATCAGACTCTTTTATCCAAAGCGACGTACATCAGAGAGTAAGTACAACACAAGCAAGGATCTAGAAAAAAGGGAACAATGTGAGTAAGAGCAAACGATCAGCTTTGAGTCTGATTGGACACACAGGTGCTGACAGGAAGTGACCAGAGGCAAAGCACAACATTGAGGGCAGTTCTTGAGAGCTCTAATCAGTATAGAAACCATCTTATAAGTCGTCGTTATCAAACAAAAACCATCGTCATTACCATCATCATCATCAATAATATGGAGACCATCATCATTAAGTTAGTAGATATTCATCAAAGAGCTGGGTCTTTAGCTTTTTCTTTGACTCTGGACTCTGCAGATCAACATTGCCCGTAAGTGTGAATATGAACCTTGAACCTTGAACCTTGAGAGTGGCTGGATGTCTGTCTCTATTTCTCAGCCCCGTGTTTGACTGTTGAACAGTAACGTTTATCATTGTAACACCATAAGTGAGTTTTTAAAATGGGGGATCAGCAGAATAAAACAGGTCGGCTTTAGCAGCGTTAGAACATGATCTCACCTCTTTTACCCGGCGCTCCTTTCTGTCCCTCCAGTCCCCGGTCACCTTGAGCTCCTCTGGCTCCTTTAGCTCCAGCTTTACCTGCTTTACCCTGACAGGAGGCAGAGGCGGAGACGAAATGATTAAGTAGTATACTATATTTGAAGTGTTGACTAATATTTACACGTCCCATTGAAGTCTACAGATATGAACTTAACACCGCCTTTTACGTCCAACAAAGCAGTGAGGTTAGAGGTGGACTTACAGGCTTCCCCACTGATCCCATGGACCCTTGGGCTCCTGGGGGCCCGATGAGTGTGCGGTTGTTGATGGGGCAGCCCTGGGAGCACTTGGCGCGGATGGAGGAGGCGTACTGGGAGATCTGGGCTGTGACTACACCTTTGCAGAGCTGCAGGACCTGCTCGTCCGTCAGACCAGGACCCTGCAGGACAGACAGAGATCAGTGCATCAGGTGCTAAATCAAAGTGAGTTGATTCTTAGCCCGGGTAAATGTTTAAAGCCTTGTGTTATTTAGAGACTCCTGTGACTTTGCACGATGTTTTAAAACACCAACAACACGTTGAGTTCATATAGAGTATGCAGACGATCCTTTACTCACAGTGGGCCCTGGAACACCTTTTGCTCCCGCCTTGCCTTTAACTCCCAGGTCACCGATGGTGCCGCGCTCTCCTCTGGTCCCTGGGATGCCAGGCGGTCCCACGGGGCCGGGGACGCCGGTACCACCGACTGCACCTTTGGGCCCTCGCTGTTGGGAAAGACATGAGAAGTGAAATCACCTGCAAAGCATTAATAGAGTAACTATCTATCTGCAGCCACATGTCCGATGTGTCCCTGGGAAAGACTCTGAACCAGCGGTGAATAAATGTGTGTGAATGGATTATTTACTTCTGATGGTCAATTTACTCAGCAGCCTCTACCATCAGTGTGTGAATGTGGAGGTGTGACCTGCAGTGTAAAAGCACTTTGAGTAGTCGTAAACAAGCTTAAGTCCATTTACCATTTATATTAAAAACAGATGTTTACAAAGTGCTTTAACAGAAAAATAGGCAGGAGCTCAGGAATATAACATCCATCCATCCATTATCTAAACCGCTTTTTTCCCGTTCGGGGTCGCCAGGGTGCTGGAGCCGATCCCAGCTGTCATTGGACGAGAGGCGGGGTTACACCCTGGACTGTTCACCAGCCAATCACAGGGCTGACATGTAGAGACAGACAATCAGACACACTCACATTCACACCTAAAGGGAATTTAGAGTCAGCAGTTAACCTAACGAGCATGTGTTTGGACTGTGGGAGGAAGACGGAGAACCAGGAGAGAACCCACACATGAACGAGGAGAACATGCAGACTCCACAGAGAGACTCCTGTCTGACCTTTATAGTCGTAAGATTGTTAAATGTTTGTGATGGTTCTTATGATGGTTCTTATGATGGTTGGGTTATATATGTCTGGTTGTGTATCGTGCACTTTGGGTTCTTTTCTGTTGAATTGTTTTTAATTATTTTTGGTATTTTGCATCTGTTATATTCTTACTGTTGTTAATGTTTTTCTGTGTTTAGTTTGCTTTGTTCTTGCTGTTTGTCAAAGCACTTTGTAAACCTGTGTTTTTAAAAGGTGCTATATAAATAAAGTTATTATTATTATTATTATTGTATTGCTGCATGGTCTGGAAGCCTGAACCCTAACCAATAAGAACAGACCTGGGAGGCTGTTTAAAAACAAGCAGCAAAACCTCAGGGAGGTGTCGGGCTGCGAATCTGACCATCTATAACCAGCAGGTCATGAGGAGAGCTGAGGCTATAGAGGTCTGATCACATCACCCACTTCAGAGAGTGTTTGACCTTTGACCCTCAGGTCGTCGTTTCAGAGCTCCTGTGAGGAACACTAAAAGACTCCAGGTCTCATTTGTCCCTGTTAGCGAGCAGTTAGCCCTTAGCTTGCTCTGTTTGCACTTTACTAACTTAGTATAAAATTCCCATTTAAATACGAGCTCTTCGTTGATTCTCTGATTTTACTGTGATGTTTTCTTTTGTTTCATATCGTGTTGTGTTGACTGGTTTGTTAACCTTGTTTTAATTTAGATTTCACGGTGATGTTGTCCTTGTATGTGTTGTTTTCTGTGAGATGCTGCTGCAACACAAATCTCCCCCTTATGGGACAAGAAAGGATCTGAATCAAAAGCTATTTTGCACAGTAGCCATGATGTGTTTATGATCCCTGCTTTCACACACTGTTGTTGGAGCAGTTTGTTTTCTGTATAACTCATTGTACAGTCAAACCAGGCGTTAGATGGAGCCCGTTTCAGAGATTCTTTAACCGTGACGTACGATGGGAACATTTCTATGATGTTTGCATGTTGACGTCATAGAAATAAAACAGAGTAACCACCTGTCCTTTGTCTCCACCGTCTCCAACACTTCCCTGAAAGGTAAAAAAAAGGAGGAAGAAAAACCGATTAGTGATGTAATCAGGGCAGGTTTTACAAAAAGGAAGTGAAGTGTGTGTGTGTGTGTGTGGGTGTTTCATCATCAGTGTTCCTGTTAAATTACCTTAAGTCCTTTGGCTCCTTTAATTCCTTTCCTTCCAGAAACACCCTGCGGTAAAAACACACCCGACAACATGTGACGAAAGACGAACAACAACAGCAGCTGTGTGTGTGTGTGTGTGTGTGTGTGTGTGTGTGTGTGTGTGTGTGTGTGTGTGTGTGTGTGTGTGTGTGTGTGTGTGTGTGTGTGTGTGTGTGTGTGTGTGTGGGTGTGTGTGCGTGCATGTGTGGGTGTGTGTGTGTGTGTGTGTGCGTGTGTGTGGGTGTGTGGACAGGTGTGTAAAGACTGGAAATGAAAGTGAACAGTCAGCCTGAAAAACAGGAACCAGTATTCAAAACAAAAAGGCACCAGACGAGAGGGAAACTCCACGTTTGATGATGAGTGGAACATAGATAAACATGTTACACACACATATCTGTCCTTTAATCTCATGCTATTTTGTCCCTTCAGGCTCTCCGTAGATAGTGGTCCTCAGTGTCTCCCTGTAGTCTCAGTGATGTAAAAGAAGAACAAACAACAACAAACTCTCAGACAGCTCAGCTGACGACTCCAAAGTAATATGAGCTGTTTGAGCTGTTTGACCTCAGTTTGGGATCCCTTACCACTTCCTGTTTCTGGGCTTAATGCTGCATTCATGTGGTGTCGGACAAATTGGAAAAATGAGTTTCCGATGTGAAAAATGCACATGAACACCTGCTCTCAAGTCAAAACAATAACTTGGAAACTAGGAAAAGAATGAGGTGCCCGACTTCCTGACTTGCCGTCAGAATCATCATCACATGGGGGGAAAAATATGTTTTGTTAATGTCAACTTACTTTTTAAATAATTCACGTATTGCACATCAACTTTTTGCTCAAATATCACTTTTAACAGAGACATTCACACATCTTCTTCTTTGTAGAATCCATGCGTTTCCTGTTGCTACAACATTCAGAGAACTAAAATCACATGAACACACTGAAGTCAGAGGAACGACTTCCAAACTCTGAATCTTGGACCACCCAAGCAGCACATGAATGTCCTAACCTTCCATCTACCAGAAGGGAGCAGCAGCAACACCTTATCATCGTTCATCAGCGTTGGCCATTTTGGTGTGTTTACACCTCGTCTCCCTCTGGAAGGAGGAGTATGTGTGCATGCGCGTGTTGCTTCATTAGAAAATCAAGCTGCCAACTTCTAGCCTGGCATGCATACTACAGCGTTTTTAGTTGTTATTGTGGATCCATGTGCACGGTGGTCGTTTTCACAATCTTGTAAACGTGGCCTTAATTTTTGTTCTAGTGGACGGATGTAAGACTTCAAAAAGTTGAGGGTTCTTTATCAATAAAGGTACTTCAAGTTTGTGATTGTAGCACCTGCAGCATCATCTTCTGGAATAGCAAAAGCACCTGCAGCATCAAAACAAAAATCTTCTTTATCTTAAACGTCGTCTGATACTCTCAGACTCTCACCTTCTCGCCGTCAGGTCCCGTCTCACCTTTGGCCCCCTGAAAGAAGAAAAAAGAACAAACTCAATCACTGCACTTAAAGGAAGTGATTTTAGACTTTATGAAGTCATGCCGCAGTGAGTCATTTGTTTTTATCCTAATTCGCTTTAAGTCTTTGGTTGCATATTTTCAGTATTCACATTAATCACATTAATATATAAAATAAATAGATCAGCTACTAGTGTTGTAGTCAAGACCACACTAACCGAGACCAAGACATATCGGAGACCAGAGAGCTCCAAGACCAAGACAAGACCGAGACATTTAGGGGTCGAGACCGAGTCAAGACCAAGACCAAATCAAACTACATAAGAATAGAATTTATGTGTTTTCTTTCTAATCACAGTAATGATGTGGAGTAATAGCCAATCAGTGGTGGTCTTGACCGGTCTTGGTTTAAAATCCGGAGTCCGCCCAGTCTGAGGCCAAGACAAGATGTCAAAATGCTTTGGATTCTGAGATGAGACCTTCAAAAAGTGTACTGAGACTGATTTGGAGTACTAGAACCCTATCAGCTACTGATGTGTGAATTGTTCTGCGAGCGTTGTGTACCCACAGTGGAGCCCTGCAGACCCTTCACTCCCGGTTTTCCTGGTACTCCAGCATCCCCTTGCTCCCCCACGGCCCCCTGTTGACGAAAAACAAACAGGAAGGGACACAAACGATCAGACAATGAATGAAAACAACATCTCTGTGTTTACTGTTTGTTACTGTCTTTACTTCTTTGGAAGTGAAACAAAAACAAACTGTATGACGTTTAAAAAAAAGGTAAATAGAAAGATGAGAAAAAACATCAAAACAAAGGCGATGTTGTGCAAAGTAAGAGGAAGTAAAACCACGGCGCCGCCATGGTACTTCACCCTGAAATCTTTAAAGGTCACATTTTAAAGTCCTGTGAAAAACAGCTTTGTTTTCAGACAGTCTGGAGTTTTTATAAGTGTTGGCTGTGGCTCAGCGGTAAAGTCGTTCCTCTCTCAACTGGAAGGTCGGGGTTTTCGATCTCCATGAATGGATGAGTTATTTCTGATGGACTCGTCACACAGCAGCCTCTACCATCAGGGTGTCTGTGTGACCTTCAGTGATGGGAATAACGGCGTTACTAACAGCGTTACTTTTTTCAGTAACGAGTAATCTAATTGATTACTCTTCCCATCATTATAACGCCGTTACCGCCAAAAAATGTGGTGCGTTACTATGACTGAAGCTGTTTTTCATCAGACCAACTAGATCTCTAAGCCGAGCGGCAAAGATATTTCTTACTGTTCTTCCTCTTTGGTGAGTGTGGACACGAGACAACCGCATAAATGATGACGATTGGCTGAGGTAGAGTAAAAATTTCATGGTGAGCCAATCAGAGGTAGAGTTGGGCGGGTGTTGTTTACACAAATTCGAAAGCATGCATAGTCAGACACACAACGACACAAATGAGTCAACGAGAAACAGGAATGGCGAGCCCAAATCATCCAACAGTAGCCTTCTTTAAGGGGAAGTATAGCCATTACTTTTCCTTCCAAGAAATTAAAGGAATGAGTGTAATCGTGAAATGCACATTATGCCCTGGAGTCAAAAGCCTCTCCACGTCGGTGTCGAGCAATTCAAACTTATTGAAACATCTTTCAACGCTACATGCGTCCACGAAATTAGTGGCCAAGAAGACCCCCGAAGGAGAAGGAGACAGTTCCACAAAACCTAAGCAACCGAAGCTTGATTTTACGGCCCCACCACCACCACACGTTTTGTCTCAGGCCGAGCTAAACAAACTGGTAGCCAGGTATGTTGTGGAGGATATGCTGCCATTATCGATGGTTGAGTCAGAGTCATTCAGAGCACTAGTTGCCAAAATACCGGTCAGAGCAGAGCAGGGGTCGGCCTGCCATGTAGAAAGACGTTCACAAACTATATAGACGCCCAACATGCTCAAATGAATGTCGAGCTCAAACAGACATTTGAGAAACTTGAATATTTGTCTACCACAGCAGACAAAACATCTATTATGTCATTTTTACAGATCCACTATATAAACATAGTAATTATAATATCTACAATAATACATGACATTTAATTGGAGGCCAGTCTCACTTTGTCCCACAGCAACATTAAAATAGTTTAGATTTGTGTACACTGTTTCTGTTAATTATTGATGGTATTAAGTGTCCATTTCATTATAATATTCAGATTTATCATAAATAATTGAACATGTATTTTAAGTTCTGTTAGAGAGGGGTGGAGGTGGGGTCCAAATTCTTTGACACATTTGAGCATTTAAAATTTACTTGAAAGTAACGCAATAGTTACTTTCCAAAGTAACTAGTTACTTTTATAATTTGTTACTCAGTAACTACTTTAGTTACTTTTTGGGAGAAGTAACTAGTAACTGTAACTAATTACTTTTTTAAAGTAACTTGCCCAACACTGGTGACCTTCACTGACCATTATTTAATCATTCATTCATATTTGTTTTATTCAAGTCATTTCCGTGTATAATTTCCAACACAGTTTTTTTGTTTATTTTTTCCCCCCTGAGGGACTTTCCCGTCTCGTTGAGTCAGTCAAACAGCTGTTTGAGGTTTTATATTCACACAATGTAAAACTTTAAGTTCAGCAGAACTCCAACAGCTGACTTCTACAGAAGTAGATATGTTTCATGAGAAAGAAAAAAAACTCCCATGTTGTTTTTTTAACATTTTACGCGCTCTGCTGGATTTATTATCAGCAAGATTTGATCCTTCACGACGTGTGATTGGCTGATCCGTGTGACAGCATCAGGGTTGATTGCTCGTGTCTGAGGTACACTGGGCACTAGCGTGCCCAGAAAACGGAGGCGTCCAGGAGGCATCCTAATCAGATGCTCAAACCACCTCAACTGACTCCTTTCGATGTGAAGGAGGAGCAGCTCTACTCCGAGCTCCTCCCCCTCTCTCTAAGGCTGAGCCCAGACACCCTACAGAGGAAGCTCATTTCAGCCACTTATTCTTTCGGTCACAACCTCAGAGCTCATGACCACAGGTGAGGGTTGGAGCGAAGATCGAGCAATAAATCTTTTATTTGCATCACTGATAACTACAGCACTGCATTACTTCGATTTATGATGTTATGTTTAAACACAAGTAGAAATAAGAGCAGAGTGTTCTTGCAGGTTTATTTACATTATTTACAGATGTGTGAATTAAGATGTCATATGTCATATGACTCTTGTTTTGCTTTGAAAGAGAAGAAGAAGCCTCCTCTCACTGTCCTCTCTAAAATGACTTTACTTGTATGATCCATTTATCTCCAGAGATGCTGAATGTAAAGGCCACACACTTCACTATGTTCCTCTAACTCTAACATGTGTCTCTAGTCTGTCTACAAACCCCCCAATCATGAGAAAAGTCCATCCTCTCAGTCTTTTACCTGCTCCACTTTTCAGAAAATCTTTTTTTCTGGTTTGTTTTGGTCGATTATTGACGTTTCTGGGCGGGGAGCTGGTGTGTTTCCTCCAGCCAATGACAGCGCAGCAGGTGAGTCATTCAGATCGGCGAATATGACTGATGTGAATGTAGCCGCCAAGAAGAGAAAATATAATGAGAGTGAGGAGAAACACCAAGCGGATAAAGCTCGTTCTAAAACGAGGGTGAACCTTGTGTTGTCTTTTACCCGTGGACGTGGAGTTGGTCTACTTCCTGTTGGACAGGAAGGTGATGAACACCGGCGGTTAGCTAGTGCTAGTGTGCGTTAGCTTGCAGTGTAGGCACAAGCAGTAAACATACACACTACATCCTGCAGTGAGTGTGAGCTTCTGGGGGGCGACGAGCCAAAGAGGAGGGGCCCAGTTTGAGTATTGTTTACAAACTGCAACAACAAATGCTCTCTAAACACAAACACAAAAAAAAAGATGGATCCTTAAGGTTTAAATCCATGGCTTCCTTTTGAGAAGCTCTTTATAATCAGTGCACTTCAGCTGCTCAGTGAATGACATCATCAGAGTATGAATCAGTCTTTCTACTGTGAGGTTCTCAGGAATAAAACATGTTAATTCTGTGTTTTCTGTTCCCCCTCAGAGCAGGATACATTTCCAAATGCTTCCCTTTTCCTCTTAGAGAGGGCTGACAAATCATGTTTATTTTTTCCCCCCGCTCAGAGTGAAAGTTTCCCACACTTGTGAGCTTAATCAGGATGTCCTTTTTTCAGTCGGTAATGATTATAAAGACAAACTGAGGCAGTTATAAGAGGAAGCAGGTGGGATCAAACCTGTTTAATATTTATAAACATCCTGCCATTCCCAGATTGACTCAGAGAGAGGAGTTCCCCTTTTCAGTTCTTTGGAATTAAACGTAGTTGATTAACTAATCACAGCATCCACTTCAAAGTGACAGGATGCTTTTTATTTATCACTTGACTCACCACAGTGCCCACTCGGCCTCGACGTCCTCTCACTCCCTGATCGCCCTTACTGCCCTGCAGAAGAAGAACAGACGTTATGATCCTGAGCAGATGTTCAGTTTGTTTAATTCAACAGGATTATTTCAAAGCGGACTGTTTGATCTGTTCCTGTTTCCACCCACACCCAAAGTATGGGCCCCAGTAATCAAACTCCCCATAAATCAAAGCTTAACAATGAACACCATACCAGCCCTGGTACACCATACCAAGGCGGGGAGGCTGTCCCATCATCTCGCCAACTTGGTTATCTTGTGACAAAAAATGACTCACACCAAGGATTCCTAAGTCATGAATCATGATTATCTGTATCAGGTTCTGAGATAAATAATGTGGTATCATTGTGAAACTCATCCTATCACATTCCTGCAGGACTCATTTCCTTTGGATTTTGAATGAATAAAATCCCCCTGGTTGAATCATAGCTCCCAAACAAAACACTTTCATAACTCTAATATGTGTTTCTAGTCTGTCTACAAACCCCCCAATGATGAGAAAAGTCCATCCTCTCCGTCTTTTGCCTGCTCCACTTTTCAGAAAATGTGTACTCAAACAAGCCGTTTGGAGATTTTCCCTTCATGACATCACAAAGGGCAGTAGCCCCCTCCCCCAGGTGGGTGACACTCCCACAGCTAGGTGTTTGTTCTGCCTTCTGAGTCTGCCTTCTCACCGTAAACAATAGGACATGGAGCGAGAAAGCACAGAGACACCCAAGACCTTCCAGAGAGGGGGCGTGGTCAGTCACAGCTCATTTACATATTTAAAGGTACAGACACAGAAACAGCCTGTTCTGAGCAGGGCTGAAATAGAGGGGTTTATAGACATGATCAAATACAGGATCAGAGTGGATTTAGAAACTTCACACACATGTTTTGAGGAGCTCTGAGACTTGAAGAGGAGGAGAATATGTGACCTTTAAGGTATTTTCCATTAATAAAGAACTGTATCTTCACTTTTATCTATATCAGTGTAGAGGCAGTTGTGTTCGTTACCTTGGGACCAAACTGTCCAGGGTCTCCTATCACACCCGGGACTCCTATAGGACCCTGAGGAAAATAAATAAAACACAGACAGAGGGAACAAAAGGCGTTTTAACAACTACGGGGGAGGTATTTGGGGGGTCTTATTGTGTATAAACTCACATCTTCTCCGGGGTCACCATCACTGCCGGGCATGCCGTCCTGACCTTGAGTGCCCTTAGAGAAAACAGAAGAACAAAAACAGGGAACTTAAACAGTAAGACAAAACCTGATGTCAAGAGTCAACTGACATAGGCTTACTGGGTTTGCCCAGATGACAGCTCCAGTTCCCTACTTAATGCTTCCTCTTAATAGAATTGTTTTCACATATACACTCTGGATATTCTCCTGACATGGCTGTTCACATATGCTCCCCACAATAGCATCCAATGGATTAAGTTTGTAGGTGTTCATAAAGAGCTGAGTCTTTGTTAAAGGTACAAAGAGACTCTACAGAACGAATGGAGTCAGATAGTTCGTCACACCACTAGCAATTAGCCTTTTACTCTAATTTAACAACACATATGTTGCAGATATTATGTGTTATACTGCCATAAATATTCTATTAGCATGCTAATGCTAGCGATCTTTATTATGCTGGTATCTTCACACTGCATGTAAATTTACCTGAAATGAGCGTGATCTAGAAACACAGTTAAGCAGTGAGTACAGTATGTTATTCTTCTTTTCTCTAGTCCCTCAATTAAACAACTTTTATACACGAGGGGAGGAGTCAGACGGCCGTCCCGACGATGTAAACAAACTGAAGATAGGACTCTGAAAACTCTGAAAACATCACAGACAGTGGGACTCGGGTGTTACACCCATTGTAGACAGTCATGACTCACAGAGTTATTTTCAGAGGATAGACTTCATTTCTACATTTAAGTGTGAAAAATCACATATGAAGACTTCAAGGTCTGCTTAAAAATAATCCAGCAGAGAGACTTGTGTTCTCTGTTGTTGGACATTTGTCAGCTTTAAGAGAGCAGAAGGAGACACGTACAGGAGCAGCGAGCGGAGAACAGAGATCAGGTGAACTGCTGACAAAAAAGAACATTTCCAAAGAGTTGCTCGAGGCAACATATTTAATGCAACCCTTGCACCCGCTGCAGAGCATGTTGACAGATTACTTATGTTGAATTAAAGGAGCTTTCACTTTTGCTAATAAATCTTCTGTTGCTTAATAAGAACCTGGCCCCCTGCTGTGGCTGCAGTTTTACTTTCAGTTAGACTTTTCAACCCTCCTGTGTTTATTACTTTGATTACATGTTGGTGTACAGTAGAAGACTTTCTCTTGACTCCCAAATAGCTGAAGTAACAAATACTTTGGGGAACTTTACCAGTTGTGTCATGTGATAAGTCTTTGAGTGATTCTATGCAGAAAGCACTTTCACTTACTGACTGATCCTTGTCTTGATCCATGCCCAGTTTCTGTTTTATTCTGACTAGCTATCCAGACAGGAGGCTTTCACTTGCTTTATCTACAAGGTACAAGGTCAAACCCTCTCAGTAGTTTTGGCATTTCTTTTTTTCATGAAGTGAAACTCCCTGATGTTCAAGGTAATGTGAGAACAGACATGAAAATGACTCCTTACAAATCATTTCAAAATTTCAAAATGTCAAAATACTTCCTGAAATGAGAATTTGAGAAATGAGAAATTTCCCATTCTTCCCCTGGGAAAGTCAAGCGTTACAGAGTTTAAACTTGATGATATGCTTTAGAAACCTTAGAAGGTCTTTCTGAATGTTTTATTACCTCTAAATCATAAAAACTGAAGTCATGTGTGGATGAGTCAGAAGATTCAGGAAATGTGGGTTAGGAGGACTTTAAATGATTTAGAATGAATTAATCATATATAATAACAAACGTATGGCTGTCAGAAATGTCTTCTTTAGTTTTCTAAATTTTGAAACCACAGTTTGTAAACTTAATATTTACTAAGCCCACATGTCTGACATTTAGCCTGGTGGTTGATATCACAGCCTTCTGTTGAATGTTTACACAAACTTTTAGTCATTTGTCGAGTATGTAAATAGAGTTTGTCGCTGAGTTTGAGCTATTCACAGTGTTTCAATGTAATTTAAAATGTAGTTGGTTTTTTTTCATGTTTTAGAACTTTTCAATACTATGCTTCATTAGAATAACAGAGATTGTATATATATTTTTTTAAACTAAAAGATTGAATATTTTCACAACTGTAGTTCAGTCAGGAATACTCTGGTCATAGATTTAACCATTTATTGCACTTATGGTTTGTGTTTAGCTCTCAGTAGAATCAATACAGCAAGCCACAGATGTTGCTGAGAGCGAACCTGAATGTAATGATACGGACATCTTGGAGACATAACGAGCAAACAAGCTGAGTGAAGCTGGTGGAGTTAGAGGTTTAAATAGACCGCCTTGTTGTCAGAGTGTGAAAATAATTGGTTAGCATTGCGGCTGTTCTCAGATCAGGTGATGGGCGGTTGCAGGCAGGACTACCGTATTCCCCCTGAACTAACGCAAGGCTCCATTGCTCACTACATTTATAAGAAATCTACAATAAAATTTGAGTAATTGAAAAAAAGAAGAGAGGTTTCCCAGCACATTTAAAATGACATATCACGGGGCGCCCATGGCCTAGGGGTGAGTGTGAGCGCTCCATGTACATAGGCTATAGAACTCTGGCATGGGTTTGAATCCGACCTGTGGCTTCTTTCCCGCATGTCATCTTGTCTCTCTCTCTCCCTGATTTCTGCCTCTATCCACTGTCCTGTCTCTAAATAAAGGCATGAAAAGCTCAAAAATGAATCTAAATAGAAGATGCAAAACTTCTCGCTTGTTCCAGCTCTGACATTAATTATATCATCATGACCCATTTTGGTACATTTATCATGTTTCTCCACGTTGTTGGCTGAAAAAACTCCCATGTTTGATGAGCTTCATATTAAAGTCCAATGGAGGAATGAACAACAGAATGAATTCAGCGATAAGTAACATCCAGCTGTCGGACTTTCCCCATAACTAAGTGAGAAGTCATTTACTCCTATGTCATTTCAAACCCTGCACAGTCTAAAGCCCCTTTGTGAAGTGAGATGTTTGGTTTCTGTTTTTGCTGTCGGATCAGTAGCTGTCTGAGTGGATGCACCAGGTGGTCGTTCACTGCTCCACAGTACTTCAACAATTCATCAAAATGTGTTAGGTATCAGATTATTTAATATAAGATTTCATGCAGAGCTTCTGTGACTCCATTATTTAATTTGTTCTGGGAATGTCCAGCTGCCAAGTCTTTATGGTCAGAAGTGCACGCCATCATGTCAGAGGTATATGATCTCCTTATCTCCGACTGCTTTTTAGGCAGTAACCCTGAGAGCACAACGAGTCCAGTTGTCTCACGTCTTCAGGCGGCTGTCTCTCAGTTATAGGACTGATCCGTTTTAACTGGGAGTGAACGCCAGCGTGTGCTTCATGAATGACTCATGACTGGTACCTTTACCTGTTTAATATGGAGAGAGCTGCCCATTAGGGGTCTTAGTGGGTACAGGGGTATGAGGAGGAGATCTCAGTGTACTGTTAAGGCCCTGACACACCAAGCAGACGGCAAAGAACTAGTGGCAACGAAGGCTGACTGTGGCCATTTTCACACCGCTGTCACTCACCACTCGTATTATAGGTAGCCTACTAATGGAGAATAATGTCTCCAAAGGGGCTTTTGCTGCTTTGCTAAAGTGCTCATGATGGATAGGCCGGATCTTTGTAACACAACAATGAGTAAGGTCTTTTACCTGCTTTTTGTAACATAACAATGAGTAAGGTCTTTTACCTGCTTTTTGTAACATAACAATGAGTAAGGTCTTTTACCTGCTTTATGTAACATAACAATGAGTGAGGTCTTTTACCTGCTTTTTGTAAAGTGTCTCGAGATAGCACTTGTTATGAGTTGACGCTATACAAATAAAAATTGATTGATTGATTGATTGATTGATTGATTGATTGATTGATGTGCCTCTGCATCACTTTTGATTTTATGAGTATAATGTGCAGGGTCTTTCTGGTCAATTTTTTTTCCATGCCTTTATTAGAGACAGGACAGTGGATAGACTCAGAAATCAGGGAGAGAGAGAGAGAGAGTGGGGAATGACATGCAGGAAAGATGCCACAGGTTGGATTTGAACCCGGGCAGCCTGCTTTGAGGACTGCAGCCTCTGTACATGGGGCGCACACACTAACCACTAGGCAAGCGGTGCCTCTAAAGGTTTATTTTTGGGCTTTTTCATCAGATTTTTCAGAGATAAGACAAAGGCTAGAATCAGAAATCAGTATTGTCCGCCTACTTAGAGGACTACAGCCTCCGTACACGGGGCGCGCACACTAACCACTACGCTCCCCCTGAATCTTTGCTATATTGAACTACTGTACAGTGTGTTTGGTGAATTTTTACCCTGAAGTTCATGTACCCCCCCCATGTGTCTTGTTTGTTTTGTTTGCTTTTCGTTGGGACAACATGAGACCACATGACCTCTGCAGTGACACAGCCTGTGACTGTTAAGCTGCTGATTATCATACAGTCACACTGTTTCCACATGTTGTTTATTTTGAGATCAACATTCCTCAATTCTTTGTTCCTTATTTCGTTTTTGTTGTGATCTCTTCATCACAACGTCTTCTTGTGACAACTCAACAGCTGTTTAGTAGTAATACGAGGTACTTGAAACTTACTTAATCAACGGTGTTAAAGAAATGTTAACTTATAAACAATTTATTCTCAGAGATAAATAAAGAACTTTTTACTTTACTAAGGTTGTCAGGATTTTCAATAAGTGTTTTAAAATCTCTGATATTTAAATGATCAATAGTATCAAAAAGATCCAAAACTTTAGAAAAACATCAGGTTGTATTTTTAATCAAAAGCCAAATGTTCCTGTTAGTTTGGGGTGTTTTTTTTTGTTTAGTTTATTTTCAGTATTGTTATTATTGTTTGTTTCCTCTCAAAATGGAAAAACTCAATAAATAAAAAAATAAAAAAAATAAAAAAAGCCAAATGTTCTCAGGGTCAGTCTCGATAATGACATGGAAGTGGTTCTATACCCTTTTTCTTTTTTTAGAGACAACTGAAGATACTTTCTACAATGTACCAAAATGTTGGGTTGTTAATACTCTTAAAGGAGCAGTATGTAACCCTGACAACTAGTGGTTAAAATGGGTACTGCAGTCTAAATTCTAAACATCATAGAGAGCTGTCCCCCCCCCCCCCCCTCTCTAGAGTGGATGGCGGCAGAATTTCCTTTCAGAGTCATAAAGGTCAGTCAATTCTTCGATTCTTATCTCGCCTTCACAGCTATCAGTCAGTTGGATGCTTCATGAGGTGAGTGTTATTCATTTGATGTGTGGGATGTAATCATGAGATGTTCATCAGACTCCCACACAGAGTCTCACATTCACACCCACTGATGTAAAAGGAGAACCATCCCACGTTAACCTTTCAGTGATCTTTAAAAGTGAAATAAACAAGTTTGTTTGTTTGTACCTTTGGTCCAGTGGGTCCAAAGGGTCCCGGCTGTCCAGGATAACCCTGAAGAGGAAAAACAGAAAAGACTGTTGCTCAGATTATCACTGAAACATCTCTGCAGAATGAGGAGGTAATACATTAAAAGATAGAGGGAGAAGGACTGAAATATCAATCGCAGATCATACATTAAATGTTAAATTTCCTTTTTTAAGGCCCTCATGTTTTCTACAGAGGTCACGTTACAGCGCTCCTACTTAGAGCATCATCTGTCATAATGGAAACGTGATAAAGGAGGACAATTTGACTTAAACGTGTCAAACACATGAATCCATCAGTCCTGAAAATCAGATGATCTGAATTAAAATCCAAAGATTGATTGTGGGACATTTTGATGACAGGAAATAGAAAGAAAAGTGAAGAATGTGCAAACACACAGATCATATTCTGATGTAAAATCGTTAAGAGATCGTTTAAGAGAATAATTTATCCAGATGGAAAAACTCAAAGTGTAAATACCGATAAAACTCAGGTTAAAAACTAAACTGATCCTAATCCCAGGAAAAACAGCTCAAGAGAATAAAGCAAAGGAAATCATTATTTGAGTCGTAACCTTAAACCTTAACACTTCTCTTTTAGAGACGTCATGAAATTGTAAGCGCCCGTGTCCACCTGGCGTTTCTCTTTCAGACATCAAAGCTCTGGCAGTGTGCTCAGGAGCGCCAGGTTGAAGTGTTGGGGGGGTGAAAATAAAAGCGCTGAATATGCGTCTTGTCTCTATGACAACAGCCGATGCTCCCACAACCTTCCTGTCTCCTGTGTGATCACTTTTGTCAAACACATCATAAAGCTCTCTGTATCTCTCCTCCACTCTTCTGGCTGCAAATGTGACAACTCCCGAACCCATCTACTGACGTCAACAGCGGCCTTCTGAAAAGTTGAAATATTTTCTACACACAGAGCAGCCGCACAAAAAAAGGGCGGTGCTCTCAGAGGAACGACGCTGGACCCTGTGTCTTTTCTCGGGGCGGCCGCCTGCTGCTGCAAACGCTCTCTCCTCATTAGGAGCAATTAAAAAAAAAAAACTCAGAGAAAAAGCGTCAGGTGGACACGGGCCTAATAGTGGCTGGAACGTCCCATTGAGAGTCAGTGGTGATTCTAGATGTACTGGGTGGACCTCCGACCGGCGTTAATCACCATCATGTCTGCCAGGGTCCTGACGCTGACTCCTCCCCTTGTTGACTTTCACAGTAATAATATATGCAACGCTTAGCAGCGCAAGGAGAGTGAGTCAGATGGGGCCTCTGTTAGGGAGGTTTTCCTACTGTCATTGCAGTAGTGTGTGCACATTTTGAGCCATGGTGTGGTCTAAAGTGTGTCAGCCCTCAGGGGCCCCTTACTGGTCTGGGGCCCCCCAAGCAGTTTCCTGCCCTGCCTGTTGACAAGAAGCACCTCTGTAGAGAATGCACACAGCAGACATGCAGCGGGGGAAATGACTGCCCTGGAGTATAGCAGCAATTATGAAAATGTGTCCCGCAGAGCAGCGACCCAAAGTCCCAGGATGAAACTGACGTTAAAGAGCAGACACTCCTCCTGAGGTAAGGATCACCTGTGAACATCTGAGTGTGCTTTTTTATGAAACATATGTGGATCTCTTTATTGTTCTAAATTGAAGATTTGATGGAGGAAAGTGGTTCATCCTGAGCAGAAATCCAAACTCAGAATAGTATTTTACAGATTCATGAGCTATAAATAGAACTGAGGGTCTTTCTTACATTGTATCCTCTGTCGCCGACATCACCTGGGAACCCTGGAGCTCCGATCTGACCCTGCAGGAGAAGAGGAGACGTTCATCAACATCAAGTTAGCGATCCATCGGCCTCTACTGGTGATTAGAAGGAAGTGCAGCTACACTCCAGTATACAGAAGAGTGTCCATAGATACACTGTGACAGGAAGGAACACTATCTTATCAGGTCAGATTCTCTTTTCAAAGCCTGACAGGGTTTTTTTGTCGTCCATACCTTCTGTCCGTCTCGCCCCTGAGGACCCTCCTTCCCCTTGTCACCGTGAGACCCCTGAGTGGACAAACACAGCAGAGCAGAGACAGAAATGAAGGAAAGGTTGGCAACACATGCAAACACACCTGACGATAATCGTACCTTTCTCCCCATTAAATTCAGAATAAATAAACAACCGTTCTTCTCAGATTTAAATTTACATTAGCACAGGTGAGGTTGATTTTTCAGCATTTATTTAGTAAAACAAAAATGAAGTCTTTTGTGGTTTTGCAAACATAAAAAAAAGATCCTCACTGGTCACACATGAAAGTTATTCTCGAACAGTAAGTGTAAGAAAACTTGGGGTATATGTACTCACCGTGATACCTTTCCCTCCCTTTGGTCCAGAAGGTCCAGCATCACCATGACGACCCTGAATGGAACATATATTATTGAAAATAACAATAACCTGAGTGTGTGTGTGTAAGTAAGTAAAGTTTATCTAAGAAGAACTTTTCACAGACAAAGGTCACAAAGTGCTTTACATCAACAAAACACAACATACGAGTATCCATGGACCGACTTTATAAAATCCTGCAATGACCAGGAACACGAAGGGCTCTGAAAGTGAGGGGAGCCAGTGCAGAGATTTCAATATGGGAGAGATGTGAGTCAACTTAACGACAGGCTGAGAGCTGGAGCTGAGTCGGGTTTTAAGCCTCCTGACAAACCGTTACATCGTGCCCACCTGTCAATCAGGTCAGCTACTTGCATGACTATAGACAACACCTATCGTTCATAAAATCAAATTAGATGGTCTAAAAATAATTAAACCACCGCACAGTGTGTACCAGTGATGACAAAAACTAATCAGACCTATTTGTTTTTTTTGTACCAGGATGTAAATGTGTTAATTTCTGCTGCAAAACGGCTTTTTTGCCAGTCATGTGTATGTGACTTCCGGAGTTCCTGGAGCCAGCCTCTAGTGGACACTCGACATACTGCATGATTTTGCAGTTCCGCATTGGCTTCATTTTTTTCAAGACCGGAGGTTTACAATCAAACTAATGAGAATTATAATGAATGAAGACATGAAAGAAATTAAAAAGATTGATCAGAAATGTTTTCATATTAAATTTATTGAAGTTGGGGCGCTGGTGGTGCAGTGGTTAGTGAGAGCGCCCCATGTATGGAGACTGAAGTCCTCCAAGCAGGCAGCCCAGGTTTGAATCTGACCTGTCGCTCCTTCCCTCACTCTCTCTCTCTCTCTCTCTCTTCTGACTCTATCTCTGTCCTATCTCTCCAATAAAGGCACAAAAAAGCCAAAAATACATTTTAAGAAATGTATTGAAGTTTTCTAAAATAAATGGAGTATAAATATTTATCAGGGGTAGAAAACTAAATATTTTCTCTGGGATGATCTTAAAGTGAGATGTTATTTCTCCTAATCTGAAGCTGTTGGTTTGAGGAGTGAAATTGAAAAATGTTAAAATGTTATCATGGCTGTTGCCGGGTAAAACCCCTAACTTCACCACCCATCTCTTTAACTGCGTCACCGCTCCACCTGTTTGTTGATGAACTGTAAGGAGAATAAACATGGCCGCTGGGATTTTAATTAAAGCAGCAGGTGACGGAGGGGGAGATGAAGTCTGGGTGATTTCCAAATGGGAGAATAGACAAATAAAACAGCAGCTAAAGAACACCTGTATGTTTACACCAGTCTGCAGGAGAGTCCCTGATGTCTGCTGCTCTCTTAACCTGCTGCTACATGTTTACTCTAAACATGATAGTCTTTGATATAAAAACTAAGTTGATATTTTAGTCTCTCTCTGCCCCGGAGAAACCTCACAAGGCTGCGGTTCAACATGTTTTCTTTCAGGGATTTTCCTCTTAAAGAAGCTGTTTCTGGGATTCAGATGGAGTTCTAATCTAACTCTGTATGTGATGCTAAGTTACTAAAATACACAAATAATTAGATGAACTTTATTAACCCCAAACTGGGAAAGGGTAAAACCTTTGATAAAGGGTTAAAAATTAATAAAGTAATAGTTCAGCTGATTGACTGATTTTTCATGACTGTTAATAAACCTAGTGTTTAAAATGGGTACTGCAGTCCAAATAGAGTCAACGCTCACGCAGGTTGCCATGTTGTGGACACTGGTTTGACCTGATAACTGGTCTCATATCTGGCAAACCAAGGGGCGTCCAAAACGGCCGTGTGGGGGTCGTACCTTCTCTGGTCCAAACAAATCCAGAGCATTCAGGAGCAGAATCTAAAGTTAGAAGGAGGACATACTGGCTGCTGTATTGATGTCAGAGAAGCCAGCACTTCAACATAGCATGTTTCCTTAATGATCAGAGAGTAAGATACCTTTATCATCTCACTCTCTACACAGCTCACTGATTGGACCTCTAATTCAGCAAGTTGATGAAATAATTTAATAATTAAATAATACACTTTTGTTTCATACAAAATTTTCAAACCGCTCATCATATTTTTACATTCTTTGTATACACTGTAGTATTTTAACTATGATTGAGTGTGTTTTTGTATTTTTTAATATTTCAGGATGCCGTAAATAGACGGCAGATTCAAACCAGCCATCCAGCTAACCTTAGATTCATCTACACTGTTTCTATCAGTATAAAGAAATAAAGCTTCATGCATGTTTAGAAATGTCGCAGCGTCCTGACCGTGTTAAAAACCGGCAAAGTGAAGGGGTTCACGGGTCGGTTCGGAGCTCAGATCAGTCGTACAAAATGTCTTCCATGGAAAATCAACAAGAAAAAATGTAATGGAAAGATTTGAGGGCAGCTTTTTAGTTTCTCTTCAGCTCAGTTTACAGTAAAGTTCAGATATCATTCAATCAGAGTGTTTGTTTCCTTACAGTCTCACCACGATCTCCCACTCCTCCTCGGGGTCCCTCCATGCCGATGTCACCCTGCGGACGAGACGAGACGAGACGAGAGGTCAGATTTTAATAAAACACTGAAACAGCTGCAGTTTATTCCTGATGCTCGTAAAAAAAATAAAAAAAAATAAAAAAAGAAGAAGTAAAAATAACAACATAAGAAAAATATATCATATGCGTTTTTTGGGTCTGTAATCTGATAATTCGTTTACCTTCAGACCCAGCACTCCTTGCTCTCCTGGGTCTCCTGGAAGTCCTGGTTCTCCCTTTAAATGACAAAAAAACACAATATGTGATCTTTAAGTTTAAAACCAATCCAGTTCCAATCCAGAATCCAGAAGTTATAAAGTTCAATTGTGGTAAAAGTGGTTTTTGAAAGGAACATCTTTTTTTTTTTAAATAAAAAACCTCCAGCAGACCTGCCGGCGGTGATGATCTTTCCGTGTGTTTCTGTGTTGAACTCACCATCGCTCCAGAGAAACCAGACGCTCCATCGTCTCCTTCGAGCCCGGGGTCGCCCTGCAGGACGATGGATCAGGTCAAAAACCAAGAAAAAAAACTAACAGGGACTAAATAAATTAAATCCAAAGACACAATGATAATAGTTTACTGTTTTATATTGAATATTCTCATTCAGAAACAAAGACTTTGTGTTGTTGGAATCTCGCAAAAGATTTTCAATTTATATTTTTTTACTTCTTACTTCTTCTTCTTCTTGCAATTAAGAAATTAATTTTTTAACCTAATATTCAGGTTTTTAAAGAATTTTCCGACTCTTCAGTAAAGAATCAGCTTATCTCATATCATATCTGCAGAAATAATATGACTACTTTAGACACGATATCAGGGATGCATTGGTTTCAACATCTGTATCAGACGATATCCGCCCTGCAGAAAGGCATCAGCAGATCAGCAGATAATGTTGCCTGAGACGATGTTTATTTGTTGTGCCAAATCAATTAAACGAGGACATTTAGAAGACCTAACTACTGAATCAGAGAAGAGGTCACCTGTTGAACAAACCAGTGTCATTATTGGTATTGCCCCTAATTTCCCAATCGGTGAAACTCTACACTCTTTACATATTTCACTGAAAGGGAATTTTTCCAAAATAAAAGATCTCATCTGAGTTTTTGTTTCATAAACAAATATATTCAAATAAAAAAGATTTAAGGGATTTTTCTGAAACTTTCCTGATTTTTTACTTTTACTTAAATTTTCTTGTTTGGCTCAAACTTCCTTTATAAAGATCGACCCTGCAGCTCCAGTTTCACTTTCACTTTATTCATCCAGTTTCAATTTTACTTTCAGTTTGTGTATTTATTATAACAATGCTATAAGTAGTGTTGTAATAATCCAAATCGATCCTGGTCTTGAGACCACTTTTCTAAAGCATTTTTACTCGGTCTAGTCTCGGTCTCAGACTGGGCGGACTTGAACTTCAATTCATTAATTTTGATTGATTTTTATCCCCCGGTTACGGACGCAGCCATCCTGGTGTTGAGCTCTAAGTGAGTGACACGCTCCCTTAAACACAAGATGATGATTTTTCAGTGATATTTATGGTCTTGGTCTTGACTCAGTCTCAATCCCTAAATGTCTTGGTCTTGGTCTTGGTTTTGTCTCAGTCTCTGAGCACTCTGGTCTCAGGTATGTCTTGCTCTCGGTTAGTGTGGTCTCGACTACAACACTATCTTTAAGTGCCTGTTCATCCATCAGAAGAAGTCATGATATGCGGTGGTGTTGAGGGGATTTCACTCACCACAGGTCCGGTGTCTCCTCCTCTTCCTCGGACCCCTTTGGTTCCTTTATAACCCTAAGAATCAAACATACAGATAAAACAGCAGCTCTGCGTTTCTGTTTATTCAGAAACAGGCAGTAATGATGTTTAAGTCTCTCACCTCTCTGCCCTGAGCTGCTGGCACTCCAGTCTTACCCTGCAGACCTCTGGATCCCTGACAGGAAGTAGAAAAAGAATCAGTCACAGATCTGGAAAAATAAACCTAGAAATCAAGACAACTGTTGGCATTAACTGATTCCTGCTGTATGAATGCAGATGAACGCTCTTTATTGAAATGTTTCTACAAACAGAGTAACCATAAAACTTTGATTTACATCCGTCCATGAAATGACCCTGTCTTTATTTAGGACAGGCGTCAAAAGGAGACGCGCTTTTCATTATTTTCAAACAAAACTCATGCACAACAAAGACGGGAAAGATTATGAATTTTTATAAATTCAAAGCAGAAAGAAATGATTTAACTGTGTACAAACTTAGGATATCAATAGATTCACTTATTTGATCTTGCTTTGTAAACCTGCTTCTCAGCCTGCACACATATGATCATTATTTTGTCTTTCTTGGGAGTTAATATTTGTTTTTGTGTCTTGCTGTTTTCTTTCCTTATGTCTGATCCACTACATGTAAAGGGGCCTCTAAGTGAGAGCTGTATTATATGTCAAAACGTGCAGCAACACCAGGCTATTAAAAGGGACTGGGCCTTGAATTGGGGTGGGCTACCTTTGAAGTTTTACGGTTAATTTTAATTTTAAAGAAAAAGAAAAGTCAGAAAACTCATAAATTCTCTTTTTTTTAAGTTTTAAGCATCAGCTGAAGGAAAATAATTTAGTACATGTGCTCAACATGATGTTTCAAAGGTTTGAGTGTTAACAGATGAATAATAGCGTCTCCATCATTGAGGTGTTATTGTGTTTCTTCGTCTCTATCAGCAGGTCAATCCGCTGGTTTTTGTGCTGAGGATGAAGCGACCATTTAAGGATGAAATGACTTGTTACCTTTGGTCCTGCAAAGCCAGCGAAGCCAGGCTCCCCGGGCTCACAGTCACACTCTGTCGGCCCCTCCTCCAGGCCTCCAGTGAGCCCAGACTCCTCGTGGGAGTCCGTGTCTGGACCTTCTGGAGGATACTCATACGGGACCTGAAACACAACATTATTACAGTTAAAGGGTGCATTTTATTTTTAAAAAACCAACAACAACAAAGGGGAGATTAGAGAGAGAGGGGGTATTATTGGTTTTATTTTTTGCACATTTTGTCACTTTGCATTTTCACCAACATATTAAGAGTTCCTTCATCTTTTAAAAATGAAATGAAGAGCGCACTCACACTAGGCCGAGTTGTCCCGTACCATGCTGAAGCTCGATTGACAAATAAACAAATCGTTAATAACTACGCTTTATTAGGCGGTGTGTTGTGATGGAGAGCTCAGGAAAAAAAGATACTCATGATGTTTTTACTCCTTTGAATCTACACACCTCATCCTGCCGGTCTCACCTGCATGGTCTCTGTGTCCTCCTTGGCGTAGTGGGACTCGGTGGTGGTGGCGTAGGGGAAGGCGTCCTCAGTGATCATGGTGACCTGAGTGGGGGCGGGGCCATAAGGGTCGTAGTCCTCCTCCTCTGGCCTCTGGTCGTCGTAGCTGCGAGTCGGCTCAGGTGGATACTCTGATGGTTCAACAAGAAGACAGTTCATGATTACAGCGAGCGTCTAGTCTGTGGTTTCTATCAGAGCTGCTGGTCAGATACAACCAGGATATATTAAGAGTGATGGTCTCTGTGCTCACCGGGCTGAGGGGAGGCTACGTTGTCATATTGGTCCACCAGGGAGCCTTCATAGGTGTGTTCCTCACCTGGACAGAGAAATGTCAAACACAGCATGTCACACCTGCTTCTGTGGGTCAGTTCACATGTGAGCGGCTCATTGGTGTAAGGACTCCATTCTTGTTCTGGGTGTGAGATGTTCAAATCCTGAAGGAGCCTTTCACCTGACCCACTTCTAAAACTCAAACATAAAAATCCAACCACAAAGAACTGCAGAGGGCGGGTCAATCCACTCGCAGCTGGTGTGTTTAGTGGTGAGTTCCATTTGATCTCAAAAGTCGAAAATTCAGATCCAGCCAGTCAGATATGTCATCAAGAACGCCGCCCTGCAGTCAGAACTCCAACTCGGAAACTCTGAGGAACTACAGTAGTCTGAGCTAAAATCCAACATGGCTGTTCCGTGCATCAACAGTAAGGTTTAATCACACAGATGGTACGTGTGAGTTCTATCTGTGGACATGTTGTCATGTTATTTTTGCATGCAAACTATCCCGTAGTGTGTTGTTACCACCTGGTGTTCAATTACAAAACAAAGGTACTCCTGGAGGCGTCCATGTTGCTTTTTCAGACTATTAATACATTTAAAATCAGGTCTGACGTCATGTTAGATTCCCAGCTCGAACATCTGACTTCAAAGGTAAACACATCGTTAGTCTTGGAGAAAATTTGTGAAATATTGTAGGTGCCTTTTTGCCTTCATTGGAGAAGATGAAGAGAGACAGTAAACGTTGGGAGATGCAGCAAAGGACCGAGGTCGGATTTGAACCCACGGCTGCTGCAACGAGGACTACCGCCTCTGTACAAGGGGCGTGTAATATAACTGCTAGGCTATCCAGCACCCCCTAAGTATTATTTTTATTTTTACTTTGACTTCTTTATTTGCTGTTATGCATCAAACACCAACTGAAAACAAACTTGACAATAAGTCAGACTTCTCTGATTCTGATCCTCATGATGTGATGTTTAGCTCAAAGAATGCATGACTGTAATATAAACGTGGAACCATCATACAGCAGTTATTGAGTTTAAATATGAAACAGAGTGGAGCGGCTCTGACCTGAGTGGTATCCTGAATATTCCTCCTGGCAGAGCGAGGAGACGACACACAGCGTGAACAGCAGCAGCCTGGAGAGGAGAGACGTCTGCAGGAGGATAAACACACAGCAGCTTTCTTTACCTCTTCAGTTCAAACATTCAGTAAGAACTCAGAAGACACAACATGAAGAGAGTCAGTTCAGCTCCCAGCAGGAGGAAGATCATTTACATGTGTGAGGATCTGACAGAATATTTATGCAACAAAATTAAAGCAACATAATGTAGGAATTCCGTTTGGTGAGCTTTGGCGCCCACCGAAGGATTCTGAGTGCAACTGCACTGTCGTAAAACTCACACTGCTGTTCTGGCTCCCCATCACAGACAGCAAGGATTTGTTGACAAGCAGAGGGGCGGTGCTGTTAGAAAACAAAAAAGAACCACATCGCCTGACAAGGTTCAGTGCTTAAATCTGACTCTGCTAGCGTCTACAGCCCGCTGTAGAGACGACTTTTATCGTAAAATGGATTCATTTATTTATTTGTATCAAACCTAACTTGAGAAAGAGGACTTCTTGCAGCCGGTAAAGCTGCTAAACATGAGTCATCGATGACACTGATATCGATCTTGATCTGTTCTGAATAATATCAGCAGGGACGTTCAATCTATTTTCTTTTCTTAGCTTCATCCGACACCCTCCTCTTCCTCTTAGCCTCAGCTGTTTTATCAAACAGAACAGAGACGTGCTAACGGGCTAGTACCGTAAAGTCGTACACACGTCTCGTGGGAGAACCGCGGCCCGCTGCCGAGCATACATAGAGCTATAAGCAGGCGACTGGGGCGACCTGTGGACATGAGAGAGACGCCGTTCTGCCTGAGGAAAAGTTTTTGTACTATTAGATCACTTAAGACTGTGTAAAAAAAAAAAATAGGACCCAGGTTTAAAATAAAACTTGAAGTACCCTTTAATGCACAGGTTAAATACACTTTATAATTAAACTGTTTCAAAGGGAGCAACAAGCCAGACTTCTCGACCTCAGGTTAGTGTCAGTCGTGTCAAACGGGATCAGAACTACGTTAGAGTCGACTACATTTATAAAAGAGAATCCTCTTGAACTCCTCCAGGACTCTGAGCTGCTCAGGAGAGACTCTCTGCTGGTGTTTGGGCTGAGAATGAAACAGACTGAGAGGTTTCTTTGTCAAGAGGAAAGCGCTGAGTTCTTCTCAGACTCATCTGACATTCCTGAAGCTTCACAGAGGGGAAAAAAAAAAATCCTGAACATTTGAGCTGAGCTGGAGGAGCTGCAGGCTGGAGTTTAAGAAGATGTCAATAAAAAGCGACAATACACTGAATAAAACCAAACAGATTCCTGGTGTCACTTCTGATCCCTCCGTTTGATTTCTTGTCTAATCAAGTGTTGGAGGGAAAGCTTTAAAATTCAAAACATCTCAACAAATCACAAACTTCTACTTCCGCTCTGAATCCACTGACCTGCGTTCATGTTGTCTACAATTATGGAAAGACCACTATGTTTATTATCTGTAATAAGATAGAGAGGAGGCGGGCTTTGTATTTGTTGCTACTGTCTGTACAGACAGAAGGTAACTGTCAACTCTACATTAAAATATTTTATCATGCATTAGAAGTTTGACCTGTAAACCCTTAAGTTTAGCTCTCCGTCTGAATATGTTCTCTGCATGCTGTGTGTCTAGGCTGAGATGTTCAGTATGTAAATAAAAAAACTCTCAATCTGAATCTGTCTGACCTGCAGGACCTCTGGGACAGTGAGGTGAGACGTCTCACTCTGCTCCATGTTCTTTGTACTTATACAAATATTTGTGGTTTCCTACAGGTTCAAATAAATTCATACAATGTTTGAACAAATGTTTTAAAATGTGTAGAGCCCTTACATCTTTTATTTCTCAAAGTATTGGATGCCTCACAGGTTGTCGAAGAGCAGGAGAAAAATGCAAAGAGAGAACGGATCAAAGTAAAGCAGCACTTTTAGAAAAAGAAACAAATTAAATATTCTTCTTTATCAGAACAAAAAGTGTCACACAGCTGGATGAGCAGTGTGTGGCTCAGTGTGAGTACCAGGCAAATATGAAGGTAATCAAATTAAAAAAAGGTTTTAATGAGCTGTTAATCATCGGATCTATCCACAAACAAAAAATTTAAACACAAAGCAAGAAAACTTTAAGTTGAGGATGAAATCTTTGTTCAAATGTTTCTTGTGTTTTGTAATTCTACTCGTCATTTTCAATGTTTAATACTCTTTAACTCTGACTTTCTTCTGGATTTGATTGTTTGTTTTTAATTCTAGTGTTGCCTTATTTGTTTGAGTTATTTTACCTTTCGTTGACCAGGAAGTTATGGATATTCAAACCACTTTTAACGTCCTTGTGTTTGTACCTGCATTATAATGACTTTTATTTTAAAATCTAGGAAATAAAGATTTTTGAGGCCGGCTATTTTGAAACTTTGGTGTGCACTTCAAAAACATTCTGAGTCAGACTCTAAGTCAGTAAAAACTAAACCGTGCTCTGATCCTTTTCACCCATAGAGCCGAACAAATGTCCCTCTTACTGCTTGTTTCATTTAAGACGGCTAAAGCTGACGAGTTTCTTCAATATTAACACTAATCATCGATTGTAACAGAACCACAGATCAAGCTCTCTGGTCCCATAACGGGCCAAATAGACAACAAACCAGAAGACCATCAAAAGAAAGCAGACCATCACCCTCTTACCTTGTCACTGGAGGCTCCCATGGTGCTGCAGAGTCCCCTCACACCAGGACAGATCCCACTCCGGACACTTTCAGGATACAGATGATGAGGGGGGTAAAAATGACCTGATTAAGCTTTCCCTGAGCAGTTCTCCTCACAGCATGATCTCTTACGGTGGGTCCCCCTGTCCTCTCTCTGTCTGTCTGTCTGTCTGTCTGTCTGTCTCTCAGGATCCCTCAGGTTCCCAGGCACTGACGGGATCCTCTCGTCCTCTTCACTCTGCGTCTCAACAGGGTGAGAAATACCTGAGGCAGAGTCCAGAATGAGCAGAGAAACACACAAACTGAGAGCTGGATGGTTCAAGGCAAAGATTCAACTTATAGCTTACATTATTCTTTAGTCATGGTAAAGATTAAAAAAACAATGAAGCACTCGATTTGAGTTCATCTGTAAACAAGTTTGTTATCATCTGTGCAAACAAACTCCCTCGCTTACACTCAAACTTCTCTAGAAATTGTTCAAACTTTTAGGATAAATCCTGGAGCTTTTTAACGATAAATTCTCTCTCAGTTTGTCAGACCTGCAAAAACATTTTTTTATCTGCATCAATTAAGGTTTGTTTCTCAACTCTGTCTATTTCTGCTCTGAACAAAACATCTGATCTCTTCAATTTAACAGAAGCAAAATCTTTGACAGGATTACAAAGTTTTCTTTTTTACATTTTAACATTCAAATATGTGCACATCAAATTAACAAACACAAAACTTGTACAAAATTTGTACTTTTTTATGATGGAAGAATTAATGATGAGATTTACAAAGAATAAATAAGGCATGAAGAAGCACTGATTTGAGACCTGCAACAAGTGGTTACTGACAGAAAACTTGTTTAGCACCAATACACCTTCCAAATTCCTCGTGTGTGTAAATGTACTTGGCAATAAACCCTGATTGTGATTCTGATTCTGAAAACTGTTAAGTGTGTTAAGAAAGAACCAGACCCTTTTACAGTTTACAAAAACAGGAATCGTAAGTTGAATAGCCGGGGAGTTGCTCGTCTACAACTGTGTCAATCAACAATTTGCTTGTGTCACAAATATCACAATGGAACCAAAGTAAATCTGAAGCAGATGCTGAAGTGCTAAATCCTGCAGTTCCTGGAGTGTCCACTAGAGGCTGGCTGCAGAAGCACAGGAAGTCACATACACACCCATTCTAAAAAGCCTGTTTTTACAGCAGAGATGAACATGTTTACAGCCTGGTTCAAAAAAACAAATAGGTGTGATTAGCTCATGGAGGTTTGTCAGGAGGTTTAAAACCCGCCTCAGCTCCAGCTCTCAGCCTGTCGTTAGGTTGACTGGAAGTTAGACTGAGACAGCATTTCCAGCATGGAGACCGCCATCGATGGGACTTTTATTTTGGAACAGATGGTTGACGTCACTCAGGCTTCGTCCATTCATATTTAAAGTTTAAGTCTCCAGACCCACAAAAAGAGAATTCAAAGCTTTTAAATGTAAATGTTAAATTTGTGTTTGAGGAGTTTTATTCTTTCAAACAATAATAGAAGCTTTTTGGCAGGTTTGTTCTTTTATAAAAACAGACATGCAGCCATATTTTGATCTTTGCTCTTCATGTGTTATAGTGTCAAATGTACAACTTGACATCACACACAGTAGACAGAGAATGAAGAATTATCATGAATTTTCTTAGACAAGCTCAGTGACGCCACAACAGAAAGTTTGATATAACTAGATTTGAGATGCTGACCTGCACATTTTAACTCTTTGTTTTCTGTAATGGATTTAATAATCAAACATTATGACATGTCTTTAAAACTTCTGAAACCCAAATGTGATTTCAAAGATTCTTCATGCGTCTCCTTTTTGAGTGTCCAACAGTTGAAGACAGAGGAAAATATGAAGCCTGAACAAAAGTAACCTTTGACCCTGTTATAAAAGCTTGTCAGCTATGACACTCCTGTCCAACATTCCCTTCAGTCTGTTACTGGAAACCACTCCCGGTCAATTAGGAGGAGGTGGGCGGGGCCTGGATATCGCTTGCAAGCGTTTTACAGAATAAAACACACTGAAATGTAAAAGCAATTACATGTATTATAATTATAAATCTCAAAGGGTTTGTTGAAGTGTAAAGAAATCCAAATGTTGATGTTGATTAAAAAAAAAACTTTATTCACAGTTCTTTTTTCCCAGAATCCCCCAGGTCGTTAAATAATAATAAAAAGTCATGACGCCAGATATCTGTTGACCTGTAAGGCCACAGTGACCTTATCTGATTTCTGCTGATGCAGCACCCTCACTTCTCTTTCTCCCTCTCCTCTTTCTTCTTCTTTTTCTTCTTCTTCCTGTCATGGTGGTGGTCGCCGGGGGATCGGGAATCCCTGCAAAAGAAAATAAACATTTTGGTACTTTCACCAACAAAAGTCGTTTTTTCCAAGAATTAATTCTGACTAATAAATCTGATTTATAAAACCACTAAAGGCTGAGTGTCGAGACCAAAAGGAGAGCACACAGAATGCATATTTAGAAGTCTTTACACTTGTTGCATTTTCGCTTTCAAGTTGATTCTTTTGTTCTTTGGTGAGGCGTTACATGTCATTGGACTCAAATACATCTTTAGATTCTACGACACAGGAACAGTCTTTTAAAGCAGTGGTTCCAAACTGATCCAGGTTCAGGACCAAACACCAACTCCTTAATGAGAAACCACGACGCACATTTCTGAGATTTTATTCTAATCAGATTTGAGAGACTTGTAGTTGTCTTTTCTCACCTGTCCTTCTTCTTCCTCTTCTTTTTGCTCTCTCTGTCTTGGCTTCGTTCCCGGCTGCGATGGCGTCTGCTGTGAGAGTGACGAGACTCTGAGGACCCGGATCGCTTTTCATCCAGTCGGCGCCTGACGGACACAAAACATTAGACCTCAACTCCTCTGATTTACATTTCTCAAATCAACAGCAGCAAAGAAACAGAATATCATTATTATCCCCAGGAGAACAGGGGTCAGAGTGTTCGTACCTGTTGGAGGAGGGCTCAGGTCTCGCAGACTCCTCCTCGTGCTCATCCTCTCTCCATTGTCTGGTGAGTTCTGCTGAGTGGACGTTTATCACTTCTCTGATCACCTGCAGGGAGATCGCAGGGAACCCACATTACTTATTTGTTTTAGTTACTTTTACTTACAAAGAATACATTTGGTTGTTCACACATGCTCCTCACAGCAGGAGACTATCTCTGTCAGACAGGAGGGGGGCAGGGAGTGTCCTGAGGTAAGACATGACATTAAAAGAACAACATGGAAGTGGTGGACGAAGCATCAGACTCCTCTATATGACGCTATAATGAGAATATCTGTCTTTCTATCAGTGCTACGTGTAGTTTAACAGAATCTCAATCTGAACTGAAGAGTGGAGAAGAACATTCTAGAGAACAGGAAACATGCAGCAGCAGGTTGATTAGAGCACGGAGATGGTAGAGTCACAGGGAATAAAGGTCTCCACCCCCTCCCACGGGCTCCAGGTGAATTCTCCTGATTATATCCTGCTGCGTTCTCACATCAGCTCACCAGAATAAATATGAGGAGGCTGGAGGAGAAACTCAGGAAAAAGTCTGACTGAAATCAACCCAAAAACAGGAGTTTTGTGCAGGAAAGAACATGTCCTTAGACTGTATTATTTCCTATTTTTTAAAACTTCAAATGGAATTCAGGATTTTATTTTATTTTTTTACCTGGACCCTCCACTGACTAACCGACTGTGGCAGCAGAAAACAAGCCGCTCTCATGTTCACTAAGGTAAAATTACTGATATTCTGGTGGTTTTGAAGATTGGGACAGTTGTGTGTGGTTCTAAAAAACAGTCCACCCCCATAAAGGTCTATCTGAGTACAGATCCTTACTGTGACATTTTAATGAACAATCTGCGGAGTGACAAAAAAAGACTCTTTTGTTGGATTTGCCATGATCAGGAACATTTTCCATGAAAGGCTTTGTTGGCATTTTAATGGCTCAAGAAATCTTCTGGAGCAATTCCCAAACTTTTTGTTCACATAATGAAATATCACCCAAGGTTTGGAAACACAAGAATATCCTTTTAATCCACTGATGATTACAAAGTGTTCTTGAGATGTGAAGAGCAGGTAAACAGGAATTGATATCTATTACAGCTATTCACTGTTCCTAAATCAAGTGAAAGTATATATTCTTATTTTGGGATATTTTGGGGATACATTTGAATATTAGATTATGTTCAGGGTATTTTGATTATTATTGTTTACATTCATGAGTTATTTCCATTCGTTTATTTTGCTACTTGGGGCATAAGGGTAGAGTGTGTACATGGGTGTGTCTATACAGCCAGGTAGTCAGGTGAGACTCAGGTAGGCACCTAATGTGTTAATGGTTTTTTACCAGGAAGCCAGGACGCAATGGCAGGATGACAGGGCAAGAGAGACAGAAGTGTTTTTTGTTGTTTGTTGCCTGCTTGATGTCTCTGGATAAAATAAACCACCCAAAAACCTTCAATCATCACCTGGACAATGGACTTATTAATATATTAATATAAGATTCGCCCTCTAGGTGCCTCAGTGGCTTTATTATGAGTTTGTGTTTAGTTTATAATTTGTTTGGAATTTTTGTTATTTATAGACTATGGATATCACCACTACAATATCCATTTAGTGTGTTTGTGATGTTTGAGCTCACATTTGACAAATCTATGAAGGGCATTGTGGGTAAAGAAGCAGCAGTCTTTCTCCTGACGCTAGTTTGTACCTCGGTGTAGGACTTCTTAGTGATGTGGACGTTTTTGGCTCGGTAGGACTGACGCCGCCTCTTGTAGTCCCTCATCTCTGCCATGAGCTCAAGGTGAGTCTTCGGTTCATTCTGTTCATCACCTACACACACACACACACACACACACTCATTTTACAGGAGTATCAGGCTCACAGAGAAACCAAAATTATCTTCCTCAATTCACCACTTTGAAAAAGTCTTGATTATTTATATATTTTTGTCTTCTATCAAAGACATTTTGGGGGTCTTCACTATAACGTCAAGTCTTACCCTTCTTGAGCTTGGACACCAAATCTACGTAGAGATCATCGTTGCTGGACAAGGCGGCGTCCTTCTGTTGGCTGAAGACACCGACCACATGATCGTACAGAGCCAATCGGTCGGCCACGGTGAGGTCACACAGCGTTCGCTGGTGGTTCTGAGGCACGTCGACAGGCTGGCCGGAGTACTGACCTGATAGAGGAGCAGGAAGGTTTTACACACAAATCACCACACTGGCTTTCAGAAACCCCAAATACACATCCTCATGTTGTTGAAAACACAACTCGTCATGTGTAATCGATCTTATCTGCAAGTTCCTGATCAGAAAGAGTTTATTTTCACTCTCTTCACTGCGTGGCAAAAATGTAATGACCACCTCCTGGTTTTTCCTCTAAGCACGAGACCAGGCAAGTCTAGTCGAATTTACTTCCTGAAGTGTTTCCCACAGAACGACAGAAACATAACACCTAGAGCCCTCACTCTTACTGGCCTGAAGGCATAGAAAGTTTTGAATTTGACACATAGTAAAAAAGTTTCAGGGATGTTTGTGTCTCAGAAAACAGCTGTAAACACTTTGAAAGTAAGTCGGCCAGTGATATCTCTCTTTCGTTCAACAGAAAGTAGTTTGCTAAATGATTGGGGCTTATTGTTTAGAATTTGTTCAGCAGTGATTTTAATATTTTGACATCCAAAACAATCGACCAAATCTCTGAGAACATCAATCAAAATATGTTTTCTTTAATCCACAGACATGTTAACCAACAAGTCTGGATGTATCATGTAACATTTTCCCCACACGTAAAGAAAAAAAAAAAAAAAAAAGAGTACATATGAACAATTGTTTGAAAAGGATATGACGTTAAAGGATACTACACGTGATCAGGAAAGCCTGAACCAGAGCAGCAGCTCCTCTCTAATACTCACCCCTGTCGCTGCAAATAGAACACACAACACATGGATTACACACCTCAGCAAATACAACAATGTTATGTCTAAAAATGACTGAAGCATTATCTTTAACCTGGGTTTTTATAAAGGAGGTACTTTAAGAACATGTGTGTTGAGAGCAAAAAGCTTTTAGTGACATCTAGTGGTCAGTCTTTGCATCTGCACTGTGAGACTACACAATGTTGTATTGTGAACTTGTACTGTGTGCCTTTATGTCAAATGAAAACTTTAACATCTTTGATCAGGATGGTCAGCACGAACATTTCAGAAGAAAAAATAAACAGTTACACTTGAAGCTCTCACCTTGCCAGAAGACTCCTTCCATCTTCATCAGCGGAGCAGATGATCTCGCCTGCAGGATCACCTGGTGCTGGGTGGATTTGTCTGCATGGAGGAGAAAGAGACACAATGATGATGGAAAAACATAACGAGGTCTCTGCAAATACTTTTTCAAACCAGACACACATTTTACTTCTATAATCAAATACTAAGTACTTTATCTGCCTTTCCTTCAATAAGGATGAGATTTATCCCACAGTGAAGTTCAGAAATCTTTGCCCAGAGTAATGGCTGACAGGATGAGGGCTGGAGGTTTTAAAATAAAACACAATTTTCAATTGAGAAATTATTGATTTTCGATCATCATTTGCAGCATGTAAAGATTTTTAACTGTGCTTGAGAAGTATCTTTTCAGTAGTTTTCTTTTAAAGTATTTGCCATCAGAAAAAAAAAAAAGGTAAAAAAATATTTTAGCCAGGAAATGTTGATCTGATTTTTGGAGCTCTGAAAGCTTTTAAAGCAACAATATGTAGGAATTTGGTTTGAGGTGCCAAAGGTCTCTGAGTGCAACTGCACTGTTGTAAAACAAAGTGCTACTGTGCCTCCCCCTCACAGGAAACAAGCAGAGGGGGGGTGATTACCATGACGACTGACAAGGTCCAGTAATATTTCTGGATTTTGCGCAAATATGACTCTGCTCGCTATAGAGACAATTCTCTAGCCTAAGATGGATGTATTTATTTATTTTCCTCAAACCTGAGGCCTAATTTAGGAAAGATGACTTCCTGCTGCCGTACTTTTAGATCCACTTTGAAATGACCATCATAATGTGGAAAAGTTATAGATTGTTGCTTTAGGCCTTAGAATTTTGTGACACTGGTTTATGTTATTAGCAGGGATGGGCGTAAAAGATCTCTATAAATCAATAAAACTGGAATTTCTGTTTTTTTTCACATTTCACTTAAATCTCTAAAGGAAAAAGACCTTTATTGTGCACCTCACCTTGATTAACCAACCTTGGAGTTACAATACCAGTTATCAATAATGACTCACCCATTGTAAAGCTTCTCACACTGCTGTTCTCGTAACACACGGAGGGGTCGACCATGTCCGCCTGCAACAGTGATAAAACCTTTTATTGCTCTATTTATGCAAGCACTGGTTTTAGTTTAAGTACTGTAAGATTATGGAGCTATCCTCTGAAGGATTACTACTTTTAGTTTATAATAGAGCTATACATGTACTGTATATTACCTGCTCTTCAGCTGTGTAGCCCATCTTTCGAAGGCGGCAGAAGGCTTTGTGTTTCTCCATGCTCCTGGCAGGAACTCTGTGGTCAGAGTCGTAAGGACACTGCTCCATTTCTTCCTGAGAAAACACAACAAGGTAAGTAGGTACTAGGGGTGCAAACGAGTACTCGGGTACCCGAAAAATTACTAAAGTAAATAAATAAATAAATGTTGGGAGAAATGCATACAATAATGTATAAACAAATAATTAAATAAATGCATCAATAAATATATTCATATATTTATTTATGTATTTCTGTGCCATGTTGTACAAGGAAAAGTAAATACGTAAATTAAGTGGGCCGTCCTAACATTACTGATGTAGGATAGGTCAATTTTGAAAAACAGACAGAAGCAAATTTACATAAAACTTTTCCTCTTACGACCTGGACACAGAAATAAATAGATGTGTAAATGTAAAAATACGGAAATAAATTAATAACTCAATTAATGTGGAAATGTATGCATTGATACATATATATAACTGTAGAAATATGCTAATAAATACATTAACAAAGTGTATTTATTATTTATTCATTGATGTATTGTTTTCAGCATTTATATATTTATTTATATATTTATTTAATTATTTATACATTATTGTATGCATTTCTCACGACATTTATTTATACATACTTTAGTTATTTTTTGTCCCTCATAACTGCCCTGTCTATCAAATAAAGGCAAAGCCCCAAAAATTATTCGTTTCGGGGGGAAATTAAAGCGTCTTTAAAAATGACGTAACGTACGTCAACGTTACGTAGAAAACGTAAATCGTTACAACCAGTTTACTTGAAAATACGGTTAGCTCTACCACTCTGCAATAAAAACGTTTTATTTAATTCGGGTGTACATAAAACACTATTGTTAGACAGCGATTCAACCAAGAGTGATTTAATTATTCTTTATTTTGAGTGGACTGGCTAAACAAACGTTAGAAGAATCAACGTTTAACCTACTTTAACTTTGTGATCCATCGACCATCCCAACGTTTCAAACACGTCGTTCAGCTGTTTTCTGCAGTTTTCCGTGAACTCTGTCAGCTCCTGCAGACGCTCCAGTCGCTCCTGGAGGGTTTGTGTTGGTAATGAGTCAGACATTTTAAAGTTTTAAGTCCATTTGAGAGGAAAATTCACCCGAAAATCATCAGTGTTCAGATTTAGCTGCTGTGGAGTCAGCCATGTTCTGCGTGCGCGAGTTTATGACGTATGCCTGGGCGTAGGCGGGAAAAGAAAGCAATGCATGCTGGTCGTTGAAGTCCATAACTTTAATTCTATGTAACGCAATGCAATAAAATACAGTTAAATAAATACATGAAAAATATAATATAATATACAATTTTGAAATGAGGATTTTATTTATGTTTCTATCGCAAAACGTGTTAATGAAAGTTGAAAGTGCTGTTTTTTTATGTCTTTTTAGGCAAACCAAAGCTTTCATTATCTTTAAATTGAAATTGCATGTTGCACAATGAATTTTTAGTACCTGTTTTAACAAACAACGAGGTAAATATGCTTTTTTTTGCACACTCAAGCATGTTATCATCCAGTTTTTTTATACTGATGTCCATTAAAATACTCTGTTCTCATAAACAAAACAAATAGATAAAGAAAGACATATTGACACAATAACATTTTGCATGTAATTTCTTCACATGTAAAATAAAAACAAATTGAACAATTATGTGAACAATATTTTTGTTTGTACAGCACAAACAGGACGTGCTCATGTGGGGTACAGCAGGTCATCTTGCAGCAGCTCAGGATCCATCAAATCATCTGCATACACATCCTCTGTTCTGAGAAGATAAAAGATTATATATTTCAACCAGAACATAAATGTTTGATTGCTGTCGTTGCAGCAAAAAAACAACGTCATTGCTACAATAAGCATAAAGTAATATATTTATACACTTACATGACTTCCAAAGTGTCTTCAACTGCGACCTCCTCCACCACCTCCACTCCGACCACCAGGTTCCTCCTCACTGCATGGAGCAAACAGAGTATAGCTATCAGAATTTGGTAAAAATCTTCATAAGGTTCACTATGTATAAATTCAAATTAGAAACAGGTCATTAAGAGGTGCAGACAGAGCAGGATTAAATGCAACGTATAGGCTGTGCAAAGCCAAGATGCTGCTGCATGGGTAGATTTTCAAATGTCTATAAATCTTGTGAAACTTTACATTCATCCACCCTACCTTTTAAATAAATAGACGAAGGGACAAATACATGAAAATCATTTTAAATCTTCACATCAAACAGCCTCAGACTCTCCAGGCAGAGGGTGGGATTTTGTTTCACATTAACTTTATCCCTTGTGTTGATTCGTATACCCCTTATTATTATTTTTGTTTAAAAGGATATTGTGGACAAAATCACTCCAGGAGTTTTCTTCTTTCTGAATACTGAAGAGGATTGTGGGATGGTGAAGGGATGACCCTCCCTACTCTGTATTTCACCTTTCATAATATTAAGTGCTTCACATTAATTACAAGAAGAGAAGGAGGGGATTTGATTGCACTGATAGTCGTCCCCCTGAAATGGTATTTATATTTGAAGTAAAAAAATGAAGAAAAAAATGACTTCACCTCCATAGTAAACATAAGGAGATCCAGGCCAGCAGGGACCAAAGACCTCTGGTTCCCTCTGTCCGTGAACACATACACATCCCTGGGTCTCCATCCCGGGACGCTCCCAGCGACGACCATCCATGAAACGCTGAGGTGCGTCTCCTCTATCAGGATGAATCACAGTTTTTGGCTGCGGTGAGGAAGGAGCACCAGGACTTTGCGAGGACATGTGGCCGGAGCTGCTGGGGGTCCCTGAGTGGACGGGGGGGTTGGAGTGATGACTGATGATGTCATCATAACCTGCAGATACAGTATTTAGTCAATCACAAGCAAAACAAGCGCAGCTCTCTGAAGCTTAGTCATCAGTTTTAGACTAAAAGACATCCAGAAACTAAACTGTGATTAAGACACTGCTGTTTATTATTATGGAGACGTCCTTATGGGAAATAACTTTCCTTTAAAATTGTCAATATTTCTGCAGCTCCTGTGTTCAAAGGTTTGTTTCCTGTCCATATCTTACAATTCAAGCATTGTTTTCTAAATCATTATTTTCCAGCATTTCAGAGATTCCGATATTTGTTCACAGGATACTTTACACTATGAAAAGCACATTTGATAAGTATTTATATCCAGCTATATATCCTGAGATCAAGGGAAGAATATGACAGTTTTATTTCATAGAATCAGAATACTTTTTTTAATAAAGATGTTTCATTACAGGTGAGCCTAATGCGCTTTACTTTGAGGATAAAAACGCAGGAATACAAGAAAGAAGTTAGTTCAATAATTATTATTACCGTCTCTAACATTACACATCTATTGATAGAATTCATAATGATTATTGAAATTCTATCCAAAAGGTGAATAATGGGTTAAAAAGACAGTTAGGACTGTTAAAGTAGAAGTAACATTTGACGCATTATTTTATAATGTAAAGACACGTTAATGATCATATACATGTACGGCTGGTTAATTCAGGAGCCTGCATGCTAAGAGCTGCACGACGCGGCTGACTCATATGTTTCATCCGTCTGTTTCCTGTTCCTGCTGAGGAGCCCTGCTGGGTTTGGACTGAGAATGTAGTCACAAGTCATCTGCACACACACACATGAACACACAGGCGTGCACACGTAATGTGATGTGTGAAACAAAAACAAGCACTGATGGATTTTAAAATGTTAAATGTTTCTGCACAATGTTATGTTCAACTTTATCAGCTTTGTTTTCAATTGAAGCAGTACGGAGTCATGCAGAAAAGTGCAGCACATCGAAGGCTTCGTTTGTACCCTGATGCCCAGTTTTCTACTTCCCCTCTGTCGCTCGTAAAGACATGAACGAGGAAGGACAGAGCTCGACACTGTCATGGTCTAACAGGAACACTTCCTTTCTCTTTACTCACTCAACAGAGCTCATTAGCTTGTTTTAAAAAAGTGGAGAAAGTGGTGCATTCAAAAAATCCACATCCATAATCAAAATGTGCTTTGACTTGTGTCAACAAGAGAAAAACTTTATTCAGCTCACTGCAAGCTGTTTATTGACGCGCCTGATTGTCGTGTATCGAGCCTTTAGCTCATCGATACAAAGCATCACACTTTTGTTTGTCCACCAAATACAAAAGCACAACATGTCAAACTGTCTGCAAGGGGAAACTGAAATTAACAGATCAAAGTTGTAAATATTTAACAGGTTAAGTGTGGACAGCGATCTAACGATGTGCTGTTAGGACACGGTGTGAGTCAGGGCCCCTGCTGGGCCAGGGTCACCCCAGTCAAAGAAGTCTGGACACACCCCTGCTTTTTGTATCATTTTACGTTTTTTTAATCATATAAAATGATAATGTTTCATCACATCTTCTTATAAGTTAAACCTACCTGAAGAGCAGCAGAGAACAGGATGCTCCAAAACCTCCTCGTCCTCCTCCACCTCTTGGTGGTCCAGCATGACTGGAACACGCCTCCCTGAACGTTGATGAAGGAAACTCAGAGGAGAACTTGGCGTCCAAACCCAACAGTCAGGTTTCATTCTGTCCATCCTCCTGACCCAGAGTCGGTCTTTAATCACCTTCCAGAAGTGTTTGTGGTCAGAGAGGTGAACTGAGTGTCCTCCTCTTCCTCTCCGCTCTGTCTCTGTACAGAACATGAAGCGTCAGATGGGTTTTCTCTGGACGCAGCAGGAGTGACCACGAGTCACTCTAGAAAACAAGCTGATTGGGCAGCCTGTCAGATAATGATGTAATGCCTTCAATTAAAGGATCAAGCCTGTGTTTTTTCATTTATGAGTACAATACAAAGTTTATTTTGCATTACACCTCCCCTGTTTATATTTCAGAGCAAGCTGTAGACTTGTACAGGGTGCATGTTAGATTGATATTTAATGCTCAATGCTTGTACACATAGCCAAGTGGCAAACTTAGGTGTTGAAAAAAGAAGATGATGCAGAAATGCTAAATCCTGCAGTTCAACGAGTGTCCACTAGAGGCTGGCTGCAGAAGCACAGGAAGTCACATACACACCCATTCTAAAAAGCCTGTTTTTACAGCAGAGATGAACATGTTTACAGCCTGGTTCAAAAAACCAAATAGGTGTGATTAGCTCATGTCTGGATGGACACACACTGTACGGGGGGTGAATGTTTTGATGACTCATCAGTTTTGATTTGATGAAGGATAAGAGTTATTCACAATAAGGCGTGTAGCTGACCTGATTGACAGGTGGGCGCGGTGTAACGGTTTGTCAGGAGGTTTAAAACCCGCCTCAGCTCCAGCTCTCAGCCTGTCGTTAGGTTGACTGAAAGTTATGGAGACCTCCATTGACCCCCTGCAGTAACAGATGGAGGACTTGACTTAGGCTTCATCCTTTAATAGAATAGAATAGAATAGAATAGAATTAATTTATTGATCCCAAACTGGGAAATTGTGGCGTTACAGCAGCAGGTTGTCCAAACACACAATATTAGCAAATTCAAACACAATACAATATTAAATACAAAGTAAATAAGCACTAAAAATATCAAAACTAAGAATGAGAATATATACAACCAGGATTTAACTGAACATTACTCGTCTTAAATCAAAATCAAAATCAAAAAATCTATGGGTGCAGCACAGAAAAATGAATTCAAGAAAAGTGAAAGAAATGTACAAATTGTACAAATAAATAATAATCTATAAAAACATGTCATTATGTTAATTGAATGTCGGGGTGCTTTTTATGACAGTGTTTTCTTCTTTCACTAGAAGAAGCGTTGTAGGAGGCTCTGATAGCCTATTGGCCGAGTAAATGTCACATGGTCCCTAACGGCCAATCAGAATCCAGCAGAGTCGATCGCGGTGAGGAAACAGGACATTTAACAACCGTCCAAAGGTTTCACATCTTCTTACCTGTTCTTCCTCGGTTCAGCTCGGGTTATACTCACATCTAGACTCGCCTCCTCTCCTCCAGACTCGTTTATATAACTTTATAATCGTAGTTGACATCGTCTCTGTACATCCGCGGACACACCCTCTGGATTTCAGGAGCCACAACGACGACTTGAATCCTTCCGTTTTGTTGATTAATCCTTTAAAAGACTGAAACATGGCATATCCAGGATACGGTGCTCCTCCCGCAGGGGTAAGAAATCTCCATAATGTGATTAAATATCATCCTAACAATGAATATGTTTACTAAGTACCGCCCTGTCCCGGGACAGTCGGTGGGTTTATCCTGTCCAAGCAGCCCGGAAGTTACTGGAACAGAATTAATGAAGGTGTTAAATATCCAGCAGTGCATCAGTCCGTCTCCACCTGTGATCAATCAGTTAAATGTTTGTGTACAATGTGGATTGTTTCAGGGAAATATCTATGTCATGGCTCATCGTTTGCACATTGTTCTCTAATTGTTTCCATACACAATTAATTACACAACTCCAAATATGGTCAGTGGAAGAAGAAGACGTCCGGTGTTACGCCGAGAAATGCATACCTGCAGAAAGTGGCATTTCTCTGCTGCCCAGTTTTATCCACCCTTAAAGTTGCTCAAAGGACACTTAAGACCACTCACTGTTACTGTCATAGATACACACGACTTCTGATACGTTCTCATCACAGATCTGCCCCCTGAAGAATAGAATTACTTACAATATGAGCAAATTTAAACACAATATAATATTAACTACAAAGTAAATAAGTACTAAAAATATCAAAACTAAGAATGTGAATATATACATCCAGGATTTAACTTAGCATTACTAGTTTTAAATAGGAAGATTAAATATGGAAGATTAAATGTAAATGTGCAAAAACAGAGTCGTAAATGGACAGTATTGACACAAGTTAAAGTGCAGGAGTGTAGACATATTATCAGCAGAAACTATACAATATAACGGTGAGTAAACAGACAAATGAAGTGAACATGAGTGCAGGGATTATTTGTAAATGTAACATGTGCAGAACAGATGACAGTATGGAGAGACAGATATGATCATGATGACAGTTCTCTGCTCACATGAGGTGAGCTGTTGTAAAGAGTTATGGCCTTCGGTAAGAAAGATTTCTTGTGTCTGTCCTTGTGACAGCGGAGTTGGATCAGTCTGTTGGAGAAGCTGCTCCGCTGTTTGTCCAGTACGGTGTGCAGAGGGTGATCAGGGTTATCCATAACTGAAATAAGAGTTATACCGTTTTAACACTGTTCTTTAAAGGTGCATGCAATTTTTGGCAGGGATGCATTTTTCAGCACAACACCTTTTTTTCAAATCAACCAATTAATGAATTCTTAAATAGCACCTTTTGGACAAATGCAATTGCAGTTCAAAGTGCTTTACACAGGAGTGTAAAAGTGAGATAATAAAGGTATAATAATAATAACAACGAGGGATGCATCGGTTCAACATCGGTATCTGCAGATATCCGCCCTGTAGACAGACATCAGCACATCGGCAAATCATGTGGCCTGAAGCGATGTCAGTAGCTGATGTTTATTTGTCGTATCGAATCAAATTAATTTCGGCATCTAGTCCACCTCACTACAGTGAATCAGAGAAGAGGTTTTTTATTAGGCAGATGGAATCACCTGTTGAACAAACTCTTTGTTTTCAAACATGAGAGAAAATGGGTGGGAGTCATGAAACAAACATCGGAATCGGCCCTGATTTTCTTAATCGTTGCTTCTTTAATAATAACTTTATTGAAAAAGCACATTTCAGTGACAAGGCAATTCAACGGGCTTCACACAAGACCTCGAAAGCATCAAGACGAAGGGAAGAAACTGGACCTTTTTAAATAAAAAATAAATAGAAAAACCATAAAATCAAACAGAAAACAAAATCAAAACAGAACAGAAGCTAAAACATACAATAGTTGTATAAAAATACAAATAAATAAAAAAGTAAAAGTTACAGTGCAGAGTTATATAGTTAAAAGAATTCAAATAAATGCCCTATTGTACCTTCAAAAAATAAAATTCAGTGGACTCCTTTCATTCAAACAGGATCCAAAGAAAATACTGGAGCACAAGAATCACTCCACTAAATTATATTTTTATAAAGTCTAAAGTCCTTCTCTGAGAACACCGACCTCCATTTGTGGAGCGGCTGCAGCGCAAAAGTTTCCTTCTGCTTTGCTGGTATTATTATACCTCTCTGATAAACAGTTAAATAATAATAACTTTATTTATTTAGCACCTTTTTAAAACAGATGTTTACAAAGTGCTTCGACAGACAAATCAAAAGCGTGAGCTCAGGACAGAATCAGAAACTTGATCAGTCAGGCCGAACAGAGAAACACCTTCCTCAGCGCTGTTCAGGTTTGACAGCTACAACATCGATTGACCGCTCAGAGTAAAACAACATCACACAGAAACACAGTCAGGGGCCGTCATGGTCAATCCCCAGGGCTCTGTTCCTCTCGCCCTGAGCATTCAGTGTGTGTGTGTGTGTGGCGTCCTCTTCTATTGTTGTTGGAATGTGAGTGATGACCTTTCTGTTCAATGAGAGGCTGGGTGTGGAGAGGACGATTATTTCAGCAGCCGTGTTGGTAATGTGTCAAAGTTTGACCTGGTTTGTGACTGTCTGCACGTTAAAAGAGGAGGTGGAACGATGATGGGCTGAATGATGCAGGTGGAGGAGAAGGTGAGAGGCAACATAGAGTCCTTAGAGTCTGACAGTCGTTAGTGGCTCCTTTTAGTGAACGGACTTGAGCTTGTTTCGACCTTTTCTAGTCTTCTGATTCGATTCACACACTGATGGTAGACGCCGCTGTGTAACTCCACCATCAGTATTTTTAACTAATCCGGCACGTTTATACACCGCCGACGAAGCAGTTTGGGGTGCTTCACACAAGACATCACGTTCAGGTTGAGGGACGACCGACTCCGCCCACTGAGCCACAGCCGCCCTGAATGTGTGTGTTGGTCAAACAGGTCTCCAAAATTACAAATAAATGCAAATAAAAGGAACGAGAAAGACACAACGGACACGTCTCAAACGGCAGCTGAAGCTAGAAAGCAATACAGTAGAAGTATAAGAATGAAAGAAGAGGAAGACGGCATCACGTCACAGGACATACACACAAAATGAAGACACAATTACAACACGTCGTGTGTGAGGAAGGGTGGGGATCTTTACTGTCAGGGTCCATGGAGCAAATACACACACACTGGATGCCACAAGATCAATCATTTCATGTCTTTCTTAGTGGTCTGTGATGGCTCTGGTGGACTTTGTAAAGACTGCAGGCAGCAGGAGTTGATTAACTTTGAGTGATTAGTTATTGGAGATAAAGTAAACGACTCAAGTGGTGAACAAACAACAGACTGAGCTCGATTGCAGACCCGCACAGAGCTCTGTTGCAGATACACATTGCAAGTTGAACCAGCTCTTCATTAGCATTAGAATTAGCACTAGCCCCTGGTTCACTTTAGCACTTGGGCAAAAGCCCCAGATTGAAAAATACCACAATTACCCTTTATGCTGTTCAATAGTTGCTGATAAAATTTCAGATTTTTAGTGGCTAGACTTGAAAAGGTAATCTTTTTTTCTCTTGTCTCCCTCTGTAGCAGGATCCTCTCTACGGATATTTTACAGCTGTAGCTGGACAGGTAACCACCCACTCCTGCACAACAACATTATGAGCCTGTTCCTCTTCCTTTTGTGAAGTTGTAATCTCACTCTTCTGTGGAGTAATCTGTTTCCCTTCCTCCCCTTTAACTCTAACAGGATGGACAGATCTCTGCAGACGAGCTTCAGCAGTGCCTCACGCAGTCTGGCATGGCTGGATCATACAAACGTAAGATCCTTACACCCTTTTTATTAAATATCCACTCGCATGCACAGGCACAAGTCTGAGATGCCATTCTGTAAAGCTGCTCACCATGCATTAGAGTTATCAAACTGAGCAAGACGCAGACAACAAGTGAATGTCTGTCAACAAAACCAGAAGAGTCCATTTAGGGTTGGACTGAGAGTCTTATCTTGTGCGCTAACAGTCTGTGTTTTTCTTCCCTAGCCTTCAGCCTGGAGACCTGCAGACTGATGATCAGCATGTTGGATGTATCCTTCACCTATCAGCCTAAAGCCGTTTTCACATACTTACTTCTAGAAAATGTCATTCAGAGATGCAGCCCCTAAAATCTCCCTGAGTTGGTCGGCTACATTTCAGAGCAGGAGACTATTGCATGAATGTTGCAGAGGCGTAAAGGCGGGCAGGAAGTATGCTGCCTTCCCCTAAGGAAATGTGAACTCACCGACTGTTCATTTATGTATCACATTTTCATACGACAGGTGTAGTCGACTCAATGTGCTTTAAAACAGAAAAATAACAGGCAAAGATGATACACGACAATAATATGATGTAAGAGCGTTTGACATAAGGTATCACATACAAAACAAAGGTTTAAGAAAAACATAAAAGATACAACATTAATATTCTAAATAAAAGTTTTTAACATGCTTTTAAAAGAACAAACTGTTGGAGCAGACCTAAGATCATGTGGTTTAGAATTCCAGAGAATGGGGCCGTATAGTGACTGAAGGCACCATAAGGCTGATTTAGAGTGAATTCTTGGTACAGTGAGGAGACTTTATTTGATGATCTCAGGGATCTGTCTGGTGTGCATTGAGTGAGCATGACTGTGACACCAATATCACACATATTTACAGATATTAAAACATTATTATAAGTTTCCCTGAGAGATCTAAAAGGTTGTTGAGATGACACATTAATGCTGACAAGACTGGTTACTTAAAATCAATTTTTTGACTTCCCGGGTGAAAGTGCAGAAGTTTGTGCAAAGTTTAAGACCAGTTGGAAGACTAATCCATTCTTTAATGGCTTTAAAAGAAAAAACAGATTGTGCTAAAGCGGTGCCACGTTTAGGAACACTTTTTCATGGAGAAAAAAAGTGATGCTTTAATCACAACTTTTACCTTTATGCCAGCGCTACAATTAGTTTGAAATATTCAAAATGTCATCAAAAGAGAGGAGAAGAACATACTGAAGAGCAGAAAACTTAATGAAGATGTTTCATTACGTGCACAGTGAACCCTAGCAGTCACATGCATACTATCTATAGTCTTTAGCCAGACGCAGGATATTAAAATCACTCCACCTTCCACTCGCTCTCGATGAGACTTCCTGCTGCTTTCACACATCGGCTCATGTGGTTGCGACCTTGTGCAGAAAATTTACGAAGCAGTTGAAAAGGTAACATTTGGCCAGTTTGAGTTCACACGTACTGCTTAACTGTTTTGTGAAAACATCGATACATAGCGGTTTTTAACAGACCGACTCAACATGCATGATGCAAAACAACAGCGCTCTGTGTCCAAATTTAAAAACATTCCAACCACACAGGAGACCACAGGAAACATTTTTCTAACACAAGGTTGAGTTCACATGTTGAACAACAACGTACTGAAAGTTCTCTGTGGTTTCAGACCTGTACTCCATTTTTAGGATCCTTTCACTTTTTCTTCTTCTTGCAGATTCAAAATATCCTAAATCAGCTCAGACGGCAAGAAGTTGAAAGAGGCCTTTACTGAAGGTTTTTTCACCTTCGTCAAAGTTTAATATCCGTCATTAGATGAACTTTCTGATGGAACAAAACCATAAAATACAGTACAATCTTTAATACTACCTGCTGCAATTTACTGAAAATTATTATTATTTTTTTATAGTAATGTATTGCAGTTCTTTTTCAGGCGTTTATATTGGAGAAACAAGTTCTGGAAAGGATTCATTAACCCCGGACTATGGCAACCATATTTCACCCCGTGGCTTACTTGTAAAATCTCTTTACTGTAAAACTTGAGCAGCTTAACAAAATATCTTCAAATGATGCAGGAAGACTGACAGGAAGGTGTGGCAGACGCGCTTGTATAGCAACTGGACAACACATCATCATGTTCTGTGGCTTTTGGCTTTTAACATCAAAATGATCTTCCACATCCTTGAAGCATTCCTGCTACAGCTGACCCTTACACATTGTTGACTTGATGCCTCTTTTATGTCTGGGTGTGCTGACTGGACTTAAGTGATGTCTGTTTAAACTGCACACTGTCTTAAATTCTGCATCCTGCATCTTCCTGCTCAGTTTACTGTAAAGTTTCATGTTTAGTGAACATCGTAAAGATTTGGTGTCTGATCTTTAATTTATCCTCAGAGCGTCCTTCTTCTTTTTATTAAGCTTCCATCTTGTAGGAGATTTCCATTTCTTCCTTCATGTTCAGCTAAATGAGAGTTTTCCTCGTCTGTAGAGATGCTTCATTGTCTCTCGTTGGCTCCTTGACTTGAGTGTGTTGTATCAGCGGGACATGTCGGGCACCATGGGCTTTCATGAGTTCAAGGAACTGTCCAACGTTCTGAGCGGCTGGAAGGCGACCTTCATGTCCTACGACCGTGACCACAGTGGGACGGTGGAGGGTCCTGAGCTGCAGCATGCCCTCACCGCCATGGGTAAACCAACCAATCAACCCTTCAGCTTTTCTTTAATACAGTCTTGTTTTTTCAGAACAGAAGTCAGAACGTAGAGAAATGTCTTCTTGAGTGAATTTGACTCTTGTGCTGTCTCGAAGTCATTTTAAACAAACCGGTTCTGTAACAGCTGTCAGTTTATGATGTTAATCCTTTTTTAAAAATAAAACCGTCTGTGTTCTTGTGCAGGTTTTAATCTGAGCCCTCAGGCCATGAACATCATCATGAAGCGCAACAGCACCAACGGTCGAATCGGCTTCGACGACTTCATCACCTGTTGCATCAGAGTCAGAGCCCTGACTGGTGAGTGAGCTGCAGACAAACATGAACGCTGAGACAGTTAGCTTTTAAAGGGTCATATAATAATAATATATAGAAAACAAGCTGGTTCCCAGAGGAGGACACACTCTGCTCTCAGAGTGACAGGTAGAGACACAGCTCCACTTCCTCACATCATGCCTCAAACACCAGACTGTGAGAGAGGAATACTTCACTCAAATTACACACGTTGTACATCCTGAATTTGAAACACACAAACTCCCATATGTACTGGGAGAAAAAACAAATTATAAGATTATAGCTGCAAAATGTATCACAGCTCGTCAAGACCAGAGGAAAACCAGAGAAATCCACACACACACACACACACACACACATTCACATTCACATTCACATTCACATTCACACACTCTTACAAATAATGCTTTCACACTAGCAGAAATCTCCTAAAAAAAACTCCTGATATTCCCAGGACGAGCTGTGCATGTGAACACAAACAGCTATTTGTGTGTAAAGAGTGAACAAAAAGGGGGACAGCACACCCCCTTGTGGAGAACCAGTGGAAGTGCACTTCAGCCAATCAGTCTTTCTGAAGTCAAACTGTTCAAAAACGGCCTCCTGGTTAAGATGTGGGGCTGGGTTGTGTTCAAAGCAAAGGGTTGTCATAGCAACGTAATAATGGTCAGAATAAAGCATTGACGTTTCTCTAACATTTGTGTCTCACAGATCAGTTCCGGAGGAGAGACACGAGCCACAGTGGACAAGCCATGTTTCAGTACGATGATGTGAGTCTAAACTTTAACATTTAACGTCCTCATGTTGTCTGATTGTGCACTGAGTTCCATTAAAGGGTACGGACATACTTCCCTAGATTTATTTGAGCAATTTAGTTTACCGACGGCAGCTGTAGTCGTTGAGAAACAAAAGCTAGAAAGCTTTTTATCTCGCATAAAGTTGGACGTACACTGCACGATTTCAGCTCGATTTTAAAGCTGACGTTTGAGTCAAACGAGCCAGATTACGGCTCGATCCCGATTGGCTGCTCCAGACCGGTCGGATGATTGTCTGGCATGTTTTGATATTTTGGTGGTACAGCTGCACACACTCACACGGTGAGAGCCGATTCTCAAACTTCAGGACTTTTTGTTTCCTGATTGTGTCTGCAAAAACCATCTGAAATCACCATGGCAACAGCAGCCATTCCTGTTTAATCTGATGTCCCCTCCTATCAGGAAAGAAATGTTGGCAGGAAATATCTGCAGACCTGCAGCTGACAAGGATTATTTATTGTGATTTAGCAGCTAGTAGACTTAATGGTGAGGCTCAGTGTGTGAGAGAGAGAGAGGGAGAGTGTTTGTATTTGAACAGCGCACTGAAACACACAAATGTCCGTCTGTTGGAGTTTTTCTATGGACAGTTGTGAATGCGTCGTGAACGATTCAGTCGTTCAAAGTGAGTCTGACATTCTGTCGCAAGTTTTATACTATTGTACTGTGCAGGCCGGGCCCAGAGACAAAGTCAAAAGGGTTAGCCTTCTAGGAATTTTGAAGTAACAAACTCAACTCATCCAGAAAATATGGACAAAAAACCCTAACAAACTATAAACCAATCTTTATACGATTAAAAAATGTTCTGGTTTGTTTCTCATCTTGATCAATTGTGAATAAGACGACAGATTACATAACAGACTTGATAACATTTTCACGTCTCTCTCTCTTCTAGTTCATGCAGGTCACCATGAGTCTATGAAGAGGATCAGACTGAACAAAGGGAACACCGGCCTTTAAAAACCACTCATTTTAACAGCATGTCATTTTTTCGAAGTGTATTTTTTTCGCTTTCATCATTGTTGTATCGTCAGGGGTTAAACTGTCAACATCACATTCCATTTTAAAGAAACTTTCATTATATATTAAACCCATGTAGGATAAGTATATTTATGACATAACCAGCTTTCTGTGACTGTAGTAACCTCAGGCTGTTTCAATGACAAACCCCCTGCAGTGTACTGAAGGGGATTATTATTATTATAACTTTTACATTTAAAGCTTTTTACATCAAGAGAAACCAAAAAATCTAAACCACCACTTTAGTATAAACATGTATGAAATGAATAAATTCACAAACTTGTAACTTCACAAACTGGCTTGTATTTTCTTCCTTATTGTCCACGCTGATTTTGTTTGTTGTTGCGCTGACAGGGTTAATTTTTTTATAAACCACCATCTGCAATTCAACGTTCTCAGTGCCCAGACTGCAAAAAAACCCCTCTGCATCAGCTGTCTTTGACGCTGCACTCTCAGATGACTTTAGTTTGTTTGTTATCGTCTGGTATTAGCTAACAAAACAAAGGCACTCCTGGAGGCGTCCATGTTGCTTGTCGGACTTGCAACTGGAACGCAGTCAACTCACACTCCAGAGCTCAGAGGGCCCCTAGATAAATGGAACGCACCAATAGAGCCGAATCCGAGGTGGGTTTTAAGCCTCTTGTCAATCATGTCTGCTACCAGCCTAACTCTGGACTATGGAGAACATGTATCCTTTGTTGAACCTTCTTTCTGAAACGGGCCCCATGGTGCAAACTTTGTCCTATTCAGTTTTAGTCTTAACAGGTGGAACATAATTTAAGGTGGACGTACAAAGAAGTTTGATCATCATTCATCAGAGTCTCTGAGTCTGAAGAATCAGGAATAGTTCTGCAGGAAAACTGGATAACCAATTTGGGACCATTTCTAATGTCAACAAAGTAAATTTCAGCAGCTTCTTCTTCTGCGTCCTTTACAGCATTCAGAGACACTTGTGTTTTCTTGAAAGCTTCTGTTATCCTGAGGTCTCCATGGATTAGTGTAGCCCATATCGCCTCACAACATCGCCCTGGTTGAAACTGAAAAAACAACAATGAAGCCTTCATTTGAATTAAGGTTCTTGAAAGCCGTCATTTAAAACTCTGCTCCACTTTGTAGCGTATTCATTTTGTTAAGAGATTAATATCTCATATTTTTAACCTCGATCAGAATATTGGGGCACCACCTCCTGTAAAGGAAGAAATATATATTAGTTGTTGTAATTAATCAATCTTATACCGGAATTGGTGACCTCTTCAAGATGTTTTTCAACCACAAAATACATAGACAAAGCTCTTGGTGTTTACGTGCAAATTTAATGAAGGAACAACAATAACGTATATGAATGACGTGAATTTAATCAATAATCTCAGTGAATGATAACAAGAAGACAAGTATGACAGTAAAATGACTAAATAAAAGCAAACAAAAGAAATGGGTATAACTTCACTATATAACTATATATATAACTATAACGAAGTAATCGCTAAACATTATGAGAATATTATTCTCTTTCAATCTGTAAATCAAGACAAACAATGTATTAAACAGTCAACAAAATAACAAAGTCATAGATAAATGAAATGTAGGAATAACACATCCTAATCTATAGTCAATAAAATGATAAAATCATAATCTACCTAAACATGTAATTATAGGTCTAATGTGTCAAAGAAAATCCTAACCACTAGATGGCAGTAGTGTTCGACAGTGAAAGTTTCATCCATTAAGCATCATATCAAAACGGAATCAGATGATTCAGTCCCATTCAACCCATCATTTGTTGCATCTAACCAAGAGATCACAGAAACTTTTATTTGATGCAGGAAATAGGACCACTTGATGTGAGAAAAATTGTTGTGCTTGACAGTTTTAAACGATCTTTCTAATGAGATGCAGAGCGTCAGTGGGGGCTCTCTTAATGGGTCGTAAAGTGCCCATTGCTTGAGATTTAAACAACAGGATGCTATGGGGGTCAGCTGGTCCGGAGTGTGCATTCTGAGGTCTCTTAACTTAGTAGGCTTTCTGATCCTTGTCTACGGCTGTGGGTGTGATTCGACTCTCGCAAGTTTTTGCCCTGCTACAACCTTTAAGTCCTGGAGCCAGATTCGCTGTCTGTGATGTTGTCCGAGTCCTATCTTCAGTTTGTTTACATCGCCAGGACGGCCGGCTGACTCCTCCCCTCGCGTATAAAAGTTGTTTAATTGAGGGACTAGAGAAAAGAAGAATAACATACTGTACTCACTGCTTAACTGTGTTTCTAGATCACGCTCATTTCAGGTAAATTTACATGCAGTGTGAAGATACGAGCATAATAAAGATCGCTAGCATTAGCATGCTAACACAACAATGCAGTGGGAGTTGTTTTGGTTTCATGCTGGTGCTCAAGGGCGACATCTGCTGGATCAAAAAGTCACATATTATTCCTTGTATTGTTAATTTTAGCCACTCGGTGCAAGCCTCATGTCTGTGGTACTCCTGAAAATAAGCTAGCACATTTGACAGTTCATGTGAATCTAATTTGCCCTTTCCCAAAAAACTAACTAATGTTGTAATACAACTTTACTTTACAAATTAAATAAATCATATAGATTATTATTATGTATGGAAATAACATTTCAGTCCTTTAGTTAATGATTTCACACCAAATATACTGTATATAAAGGCATATGCATAGGTCTATTATGCCTGCCCTACAGCATCTGAGAAGTTCATAAGAAAAAAAATCAGGAATTACACTTACACAAACATTGAACAAGAACTTCCTTACTTTGTAATTACAAAAGATTTTAGTTTCTGCATCTGACCCCTGGCTTTGCTGCAGATTTGCCCTCAAGTTGCTGCTTAAGCGATCTGTTTTGCTTTTCCAGTTTATCCACACGAGACTGCAGCACCTGAGCCTTCATCTTCCAATACATGTAGTTTTCCTCAGGCTTGAGATTTTCAATGTTTCCAGCTGCAAAACACAATATGACAGATTTAAATATTCATGTGATTAGAGGAGACAGGTCAAAGTTTGTAGGAACAGAGTTAAGAGCCAAATGTGCTCCCATAAATCCAATGACCGCTAACCACCCTAAAGCTAAAGCACCAAATGTGAATATTGAGATGGGAGCTGTTTGTTAAGGAGTAGATTTTATGTTAGTAATAGCATGCTAACTAACGTTCGACCCAACAGCGTAGCCTAGCATACTATTAAACCATCCAATGAATGATCTTTGGAACCAGCTAGCTCACGATAATTGTTATATTAAGTCAGCTTTTGATAACAGCCGGCCAGAAACCATCTTGCTGGCATCCAGAAACCATGTAAAACACTTTAATTATCTAGCTGACACAGTTAGCTGGTCTGATACCGTTAGTCAGAATATCTGAAGTATGAAGTTAAGAACACTTACTTTTAAATTTCTTTACGTCATCACTCTTGGACCTCCGACGCCGAGCCTTAGGCGTTGTCAAGTGTTTAGTACCCACAGCACCACTCCCCTTGGCAGGTGATAGGCCGATCAGAGATCTCACCTGATGTTGAGGCTGAAAAGAAACGTGATAATAATTTTGGTTCAAAAGAAAGTAATGCCGACTGCTTTCTAAATAAGACAACGCTTCTCGTGGGGTCTTTACACACTGAGTTCATTTAAAAAAAATGTTAGATCTGTTATCCAAAATGTTACGCATAGAACCTAGAAGCAATATTTAGACAACCGACTCTACATCTACCACAGTTAAGTTATCATTTTTAAGTGTTTCTAACAGTAGCTCAGGTCTCATTATGCTTTAACAATACATCATATATCTTATAGGAAGAATGTGAGTGTAGGTTCTCAGTCATCCAGGTCACTGTAAATTCAAAGCCTGATCCAAAGGCAACTGGACTGGTATTAGATCTTGAAGACGTTTCACCTCTCCTCTGAAAGGCTTCTTCAGTTCTAAACTTTCTGGTGGACAGAGCTAGAAATTTAGCCTCTGCAGAACATTAGCATGCTATTGATCTAGGATGACTCACATCAGAGTCGTTAGCTGTGTTGCTAAAACTAGTTTTCGCCTAGACCGCCCCCAGTGGTCTTGTCAGTTGTTGGAGATGTTCCACAGTGGGAATGGGGCTTCAGTTGTTTTGGGAGAGAATTCAAGACAGCATTGTAGGTTGGTGAAAGATGGTGTCTCAGACCACCACCTTGGTTAAGAGAAGGTTTTTCCACCTTAACAAAGATGGCTTTTTTAACACCCCTCTCAAACGGTCTTCCCTGCCCAGGATACGCACTCTCTCTCGAGTCCGCCTGTTTGTAACCTGAGCACGCTAACATAAAGCATGCATGTGTTGTATTAAGACGTTATGTACAACAGGTAATCGTGCTTAGGCACGGTTAGTCCACGGTGTGACGGCCCTGGCCATGGTGTTTGGCCTGGTACTGCTGTTGTTTTGTGTTTCAGGGTTTGGTGTCATCTGGTGGTTGGTGGTGGCATGCCTGCTGGTTGTTGGGAGACCCGCCCACCTACCTGCTGATTGCAGATGGGCTTCACCTGAGTGGAAGGGCATATACGCTAGGCTGCCATAGCTTTCTGTCTCTCTTCCTCAGGACAGAATGGGTTTATTTCCCATCTGCCCTTGTATTTTTGTGTTGTTCTGAAATAAACTAAAACATAAGAAGCAAGTTGACTGTGTGGACCTCCATTGAATGTTAGGGCCTACACGAGCTGGTCGTAACACACGGTTAGTGCAGTGTAACCGCGGGCCGTCCCGGCCAGCGTGGGAATGGCGCAGCAGGGGGCCAATCGTGCTTGAGTACGGCATGGTACAGATGGCCAGTGTGACCGCGCCCTCACGGTCAATGCGTGAGACTTTACAGCTCTGCATTGTTGTGTTATGTTAATGTTAGCGCTCTTTAGTTAGCTCGTAGCGTCACATTGCATGTGAACTGACACAGAATGAGCGTGATCTAAAAACTCTTACTAACATCCAAATAATCAGTGAGTATGTTCTTCTTCTCTCTCGTCCTTGACTAAAACAGATTTTATACACAAGGGGAGGAGCCTCAACATTTTCATAAGGTGAGTAATAACCCCAAACACCACCGTCCGGAAAAATAAATAATGACAACTGCTGTCCAGTTCATGTAGTCAGAAAGGTTCACCTACTTCAAGGGAACACCCGTGTGTCAACAGATGGACTATCAAAATAAAGGGTTACTGTACATTACACACCTTAAGTATGGAGCCCAGGTCTGTTTTACGTCCTCCGACGACCTCCGATGACCTCTTGTGAGCTCTGTCAAGAAAACATGATCTGATAGTTATGTTGACAGGACTGTTAGAATGTGCAGGTTAACACATTATACTTAAGATCAGTGTTGAATAGGACTTGAGTTAAAGTAAAGATACTTCACTTGAAAGTTACTCAGCTGAAAGTAAAAGTCACCTTAAAGAAAATGACTTAAAGTAGCTGATTATCAATGTACTTACGGGATACTGAAACATGAATCTGTATTGAAATTGGGTCATATATTTAGTAGAAATTAAGTTGGTGCCTTGGCTCGTGGATGAAAGACAACAACTCCCAGAATGCACCAGCTGTTCCTCCGTCAGCTTCAACTGCTCGTCGCTATATTGCGGCTCGTAGAGATAGCCGCGAACATCCGATTCCAGCACAAGAATATTTAAACCTTGATGTCTCTGTGAGTGTCTCTACAGCAAAGTGTGACACATGTCTCTGTAGTGTTGTTTAATATGTGCAGTGATAAGTGATTTATGAAGGAGAACTTACTTTGATCGGGGAGATAGCAGCAGGTCATCTGTCTCTTCAAAGGTTTGACCGATGTCTCCCCGTCGTGCATCAGAACTTCAAAAAGTAAAAGTAGAAGTTTAAAAAAAAATCCCTCATTTGATTCAGAAGTTCGGCATTGGGGAATAGCACTTTTTAGAATATCATCAAATTCATTCCTCTATAAAAAGCAAAATCAATATTATCACATCCAACTTTGAACTTCCACCACTAACCACAGACATAATCAACATCAAAACAAGGAAAAAAATATTATCTAAAATCTACAAAATAATCCTGAAATCTGACCAAACAGTATCCATACCCTTCACAAAATGGGAAACTGACCTCCAGATAGCCCCCAATGCCGACTTCTGGACCCAAATCTGCAGAAACATATTCTCCATATCAAACAATACAAACCTACAACTCCTACAATACAAGATTATTCACAGAGTTCACTACACGGGTGAGAGGATGTTTAAAATGGGCTTCACTGATTCTAAATTATGCTCACACTGCTCACAAAACGCCACAGACGGATACCTGCACGCCACATGGGACTGTACACCAATAAAACACTTCTGGCATGACATCACTGACCACCTCTCTGTACTCTTGAGCTGCCACATCCCATGTTCACCCACACTCTGCGTACTAGGAGACATATCTACCATCAACTCAAATATCACATCCAGCAAAATACTCCTCATAGCCCTAACCATCGGCAAGAAAACTGTCCTCATGAACTGGAAGTCGAGAAAAAAAATCAACATTGCACATTGGAAAAACTGACTCACCGAATATATATCAATGGAAAAACTAACTGCCTCACTCAGAAATCAAACTGCTGAATTTGAATCTGTCTGAAACCCAATAATCAACAACCTCAACTCATAACTAACCATACAACATCCCACCCATCAACTCTTTCTGCCTGTGCACCACACACACACACACACACACACACACACACACACACATTATTTTTTCTACCTGGCCCCCATGCTCTCTTGTCCGATTCTCCCTTTTCTCTCTACCTTTCTTAGCCGTTCACCTTACTTTACATAAAACCAACCCTCTGAAATATAATTTTACATTTTCCCCAATTAGTATTATTATAATCATTATTATTACGTTGCTGAATTTTGTCCTTGTTTTTTTTTCTTTATTATTATCTATTTGTCTTTTATTTTTATTTGTGTGACTTCCGTGGATTATACATCAATAGTTTCTCTCAACACTTCTGCCTTATTTCATTTAACACCCTGTTATATTTTATCTTTCTTGAACTGCGACATACTAATATTATTATTATTTTACTTAATTTCATTATAATCATTATTAGATACGAAACATAGAATTTTTATTTTCTTGTCATTTACATCATTATTTATTGATTGAGCCTAGCGATTATGACACATTATACGGAGGCTACAGTCCTCATTGCAGCTGCTGATTGGTTAGAATCTGCGAGTCGAGGGGCCCTGACTGAAAAGGCCCGGTCACCTTTAGTTTTAAGTCTCGACTTTGGAACGACCAGGAGGCCCCCACCTGAGGATCTAAGACTGCGGGCTGGCTCATATGGTGTCAGTAGCTCTGTTATATAGCTTGGAGCCAGCCCCGTCCGAGCTTAAAAAGTAATGAGTAAAATCCTAAAATCGATTCTAAAACGTACAGGAAGCCAGTGTAATGAAGCTAAAATTGGAGTGATGTGATGTCGTCTGTTACAACCAGTAAGAAGCCTAGCTGCTGCATTTTGGACTAGCTGAAGGCGAGACAGTGACTTATTTGTGATTCCGGAAAAGAGGGAGTTACAGTAGTCAAGTCGGGAGAAGATGAGGGCGTGGATGATCTTTTCAAGGTCTGGTTGGGTTAGTATTGTTTTAATTTTGGAGATGGTGCGTAGATGGAAGAAGCTTGATCGGACAACTGTTTTGATATGGGATTCAAAGGTGAGATTGCAATCGAATGTTATTCCTAGATTTCAATGAATAATTGTGATAAAAATTAATTGTTTCCCACCCCTAAAAATAAAAAACCCTTTGTTGACTTACATTGGAGGAATCTTCTCATCAAAAGAAGGAGGATTACCCTTGGACCTGTCACTCTTCATGGACTCACAGCTCGATGCAGGAGAACTTTGACCTTGATCTTCACACCTGAAATAAAATGTCACATTGTATTTAAATTGGGTCATAAATTTAGTAGAAATGAAGTTGGAGCCTTCTTGACCGAGAAAAGGTAGAAAGTGTCTTTTTGGCTCGTGGATGAAAGACAACAACTCCCAGAATGCACCAGCTGTTCCTCCGTCAGCTTCAACTCCTCGTCACTATATTGCGGCTCATAGAGATAGCCGTGAACATCCGAGTCCAGCACAAGACCTTCAAAATCCCCTTCATCCATATCAGTTTCTGAGTTCTTCTCAGCTTTCTCCACAGAGCCTGTTAGCATAGCTACCAAGCAAGATGGCGTACGTTGAGTTTCGATTCTGGGAGTGAGGTCCCACCCACTGATCTGTGAGAGGTCTGTAGCTTCAGTGCCCCCCCACCCCCTTCAGCTCTAATAAATACTGCAGGCGATCAGTTTTTCACTCTTACTGTGTGTGGTTGTTTGCTCCAGCACAGCGTTTGAGCGCCGGTGAGCCGACAGACTCTCGATATTCAGACACTTACTGTATGTGCTGCACTTATAATTGACAAATAGCAAGAATATTTAAACCTTGATGTCTCTGTGAGTGTCTCTACAGTAAAGTGTGACACATGTCTCTGTAGTGTTGTTTAATATGTGCAGTGATAAGTGATTTATGAAGGAGAACTTACTTTGATCGGGGAGATAGCAGCAGGTCATCCTTCTCTTCAAAGGTTTGACCGATGTCTCCCCATCGTGCATCAGAACTTCAAAAAGTAAAAGTAGAAGTTTCAAAAATAAAAATCAATTACTGTAACAAGGTACTTGTACTTTGTTACTTTACAACATTTCTTTAAATCACATTAATCTCATGTTATTTTGTCCCTTCAGGCTCTCTGTAGATAGTGGTCCTCAGTGTCTCTCTGTAGTCTCAGTGATGTAAAAGAAGAACAAACAACAACAAACTCTCAGACAGCTCAGCTGACGAGTCCAAAGTAATATCCACCTTATGACATCACACATTGACCTTATGACATCACACATTGACCTTTGTTACCGTTCCTTTGAGCTGTTTGACCTCAGTTTGGGATCCCTAACCACTTCCTGTTTCTGTGCTTAACTTCTTGTCCCAGGGTGCGTTCAAATTGTCATTTTTGTTTAGGAAGGTTCCTCACTGAGTGAAATGAAGCAGTTAAGAGGCGGCCATGATAAGAACAGTTCGAATTCTCTAAAAGTTAAGGAAAGGTGGGTCAATGCTTCCTTAATAACCTCCTTTAGGATACACTGGACCATCCTTTAGGAAAGGAGATGAGATATGCCGCCCCACAATTCCTTGCGGCCTCAACATTTAAAGCGAGTCGAGCATCCGACCGTTCAGGAACATTAACGATGATCGTAAAGAGATAAAAGATAAGAGACATTTTTATCAGATGATGTTTTATTCAACATATTTCATTCCCTTAAGAATACTGTGCTGTTGTACATTTGTATGCTTAAAACATTATGTGTAGGTTATATTTTACATAAATGTAACAATTAATTTCATATTGATGTTGATGTTGATTTCTGATTGGACAGGAAGCTGATAGTTTCACTTTTCTTACTTGTAGCCTGTTGGTCTATATTTCTTTTATTTCAATCCCAACCTCGTGGTGATCAGGATTATTTCACCGGTAAGAAGCACAGGGGAAAGTTTTTTACATGATCTTTTTGTAGTCCATTTTCTGAACATTGTAGTTTCAACACGGCAGAGCCACATCATTAACCTCCGCCGGCCCGTCGCATTTAATGACGTGGCCTAGTGGAAAATGTGGTCGGATTGTCAGAGCAACGAGATCTCCTTTCCCTAAGTCCTTTATGAATTCTCCTAACATCTTTCCTTAACCTCATGACGTTTTCCCCGGGGTTAAGGTGAAGTGGATAGTGAAAGGAGATAGGAGGGACAATTTGAACGCACCCCTAACATTCAATTTAAAGGAAAGGCCTTACTTTATTTCAAAATAAAAGCAGAGTTGAATTCAAACCGCAAGTTTCAAAATAAAAGCCTAAATATTTTTTTAAAGGTCCCATATTCTGCTTTTTCTGCTTTTATCTGCTCTTTAATGTGTTTTCCAAGTGTCCTGTGCATGTTTAGGCACATCTATGTGCAAAAATTCAAAGTCCCCGGAAACGTGGCTTCTCCTACGTCCTCCTGTTAGCTGTAGCATTAGCTGCATGTAACGCTCGATTCTAGCCCCCCTCGATAAAAATGTGTCAGTGCAGCGTCATTGTCAGTGTGATATCACTGATCTAAGCCCATTGGCTCCTTGTGGCAAACCCTGCAGCTCATGTTGAAATTTTCGAGAAGCGTGCTGAGCAACTGACCAATAACAACAGAGCGGATCGGCAGACCAATCAGAGCAGACTTGGCCCACGTGGGGTCTAACAGTGTGGGCTCAACAGAGTGCAGCTGACGGACTCAGAGCGTAGAGGGAGCAAGGAGGAGCAGTACATGAAAACAGACACTTTTTTATAACTTTATCTATTGTGAACGTACAAAAGTAGGAAAACAAACCCCAAAAAGGGCAGAATATGGGCTCTTTAAAATACAAAATAATGGGGGTGATGAGCCTAGCGATTATGACACATTATACGGAGGCTACAGTCCTCATTGCAGCTGCTGATTGGTTAGAACCCGACCTCTGCCTTTTGCTGCATGTCATCCCTCACTCTCACTTCACTACACTTCCTGTCTCTCTTCTCTCTTAAGCTGTCCTCTCCAATAAAGGAAAAAAAGAACTAAATAATGGAGTTTAAAAAATGTGATTAAACACCATTAACTATTGAAACTTAGTGAATAATTGTGATAAAAATTAATTGTTTCCCACCCCTAAAAATAAAAAACCTTTGTTGACTTACATTGGAGGAATCTTCTCATCAAAATAAGGAGGACTACCCTTGGACCTGTCACTCTCCATGGAGTCACAGCTCGGTGCAGGAGAACATGGATCTTGATCTTCACACCTGAAATAAAATGTCACATTGTAAAATATAGAGATCATTTTAGAATATTTGGCACTGAAGGAAGAGGCTGCTCCTTTGACACATCCCTCTTAAAGGTCACAAGATGCTCTTCATATCTTCAATAAATGGCACATTGTAAAATAAAGAGATCATTTTAGACTTGTGTTAACTTACACTGGTAATCCATGCCATTCCATGATGTCACTCTTTATGGACACACAGGTTAGTGAAGGAGAATCTTCTCTGCCCAGTCCTGAAGAAACGACAGATTTACAAAAAAAAGAAAGAAATCCCAACAATAAGGCCATCAGGGCAATATGAATGAATGAATGAAACCTTTATTGAGGGGAACTTGCTTTGAACCAAAAGCATAAAAACATAAGTGACAGGACAGCACATAAAAAGAAATCATTAAAACGTGTTAAATACATCAATAAAGCATCACGTTCCTCCTGAAAAAAAGAAATGCTTAACCAACTAACACCAATCCTATTTTGTTGACTAGTTGATTAATTGATGGACAACTCTTCAAAACTGTGTTTTTCCACATAGAAATATGCAACATAACCAATTTATTTATTTTTCATTAACAAAGGTTGAAAACACCTTTTATGGGCCTTCCTGTGTGTTCGGCTAAAGGCTTCTTTACATCTTGTCTGCGCAGACTTTGTCTTCATATTAAAGTTTATATTTACTCATTTCTTAATAACAAACTGAGAGATTAATAATAAACTAACTCAAAGAAGAGATTTTAGTTGCTTTTTTTTACATTACCTTTTCAGCGCCAGATGTCTGCAGAGAGAGAAACAGAAGTGAAAGTAACTAAGTCTTTTAAACAGGAAACGACCGTCAGTTTCTTCAGTAAAGTTAGAAATATATTCACAGATTCGGCTTTCCCGGATCAATAACTCATCAGCGGAACTTTGCTTTTACAAAACCGAACTCTTTGAAATCACAGGAAGGTAGGCTGCGAGCTACAACCGGGTTTTCCTCAAAACGAGCCGTCCTGCGTGCAGGGGAACCTGCATTGACCTCTAAGCAGAGCTGCCTGGTGCTCGGTGCAGGGACCGT